CAAAGGCTGGGTCAGGTCGTTTGCTGCTTCTAGAGCCAAGGATGTGGCAGTGCTCATGGGTGCTACACAGATAAATACTATGGAGCATCTTGGGCTGATGCCTGGGGTTTGTTGGCAGAGCAAGTCCTTGCTGCATTTGGCTACACTGGTCACTGTGGGTTACTCCATTTACCAGTTAACAGCATGCATTAAAACCCATAGAGAATTTTCTAGCTGCTGCTCTGTTTCACTCCTCAAAGACCTAATAGTAGTTGATTGGCAAGAGAAGGAAAAGGAAATGATGGAGAGCTGTGTCAAAACCCCTCGTTATTTCTGGCTCCTTGTAATCTCTGCTCCTCAAACGTATCGGAGGCACCTTTCCTGCTTCAAACATTGCAAAATGTGGCTGTGAATACTGTACTTATATTTAATGCTATTTGCCTATTCATTATGGCTGTGAAGATAATAAGGCACAGCCTGCTGGGGTTGTCTCGTTCTTTATTGCCTCAGTAGATGGCACTGACATGTTCGTTTGACTGATTGCTTTATGTGTTGGATCAGCTGTGATGTTGGTTTAGATTAGTTAATAGTCTGTCTTAAGATTTTGCCAAGATGAATATGAATTAAAACGGGGGAGGAAGAACAGGAGAGGACTCCCCATAACTTACCAAGTGTTCACTCTCTGGTATGATCCGTCTTTGTGTCGATCACAAAGAGATCCTCGAGGAGGCTCTTACGCTGCCACTGAATCCTGGGGCTCTTCAACTGATCCGTGCTGCAGCCACCCGTGGGGATGTGAGCAGCAGCAGGAGGCTTCTTTGACGCGTTGGAGCTCCAAAACTTCACCCCGTCCCCCTGCAATGGGTTTGGGTTATTGTAACTGCAGCTTACTTGTTTTATTATAAGCACATTTGGTTTATTATAACTGTCTTTTGATAACAGAAGCGATTGGGGTTTGTGAGCGATGTGAGGGATGCAGCAAGGTACCATCGGTCAGAACGCACCCAGTTCTGACTGTGCTAACGAAGCTCTTTGCCAGCAGTGGGAAGTTCTGTTTAACCTGGTGGTGTTCATGTGAAGGCAGGTGGGAAGGGAGTGGGATTTTCCCTATCAAAGGTTGAGAGTGTGGGTTTGAGTGTTTTTAACATCTCTGAGCTGCTGGTGTGAACCTCGACTCGGAGCGTGTGGGTTATGTGACTGGTGGTGAGAAATCTGATAGACACTGAATGGGAAAAATAATGTTTGAGGAGTCTGGTCAAAAGAATAATGCTTTCTGCATCCCCCAAAATGGGGCTTTTTGGCTGCATTGTAGTAGGCCATGGTAATAATAAGGTAAGGAAAGTGGGGGCACCAGAGAATGCCTGTTTCTCTCTTCTCTTCCTGCTTTGTTTAGCCACGTTGAACCAGAGCATGGCTCGTTGTTAATTATTCCTAGGGTGCCTTGTTCACGTCTGCCCAGGTCCTGACCCATGAGTACGTGAGCGTGTCCTTGGCCATTTGAACACTCTCACTAAGCCTGAATGCAAACCGAGCTGGGCAGTGCTGAGTGAGAAAGCAAGCAAAAAGAACTCAGTTTTGGTGCGAATCCCTGCAGTTTTGGGGGGGTGGGGCCTAAAACCTGGATTTCCCAATAGTGAAAATGGATGTAGAGCTCTTGGCTTGGAGTCAGTGCCCCTGATTTTGCATCCATGACAGCTTTGTCACTGTGTGCTCGAGCAGAGAGGTTCTTCAGGAGCAAACACACAGGAGACTCTAAAACGCTTTGGTGTGTCCCAGTCTGCGGTTGTCACAAGTAAGGAAATAGTTGGATGGGGATTCATGGATTCTATCAAGCTGGTTGCTTGACTCATAAAATGAAGTGATTGCTTTATATGGGGCAGTTACCATCCACTTTCAGACTGTCCTAATGCAAACCAGCTTTTTCCTGCTTGATTCTGACAATTCAGATTGCCTGTATTTGCTCCAGGCTTCTCCGGCTGTAAGTACCTTTGGAATTCCTGCACTGGCTCTTTCCCTTTTGGACTGGTGCACCAGCACTAGGCTATCCTGTGGATTGGTTACATGCACAGTGAGTTCCCCTTTTATATGGTGTATCCATGTTGAGTTTCCCAGCTTATTAACGCTTCCAAAAGCCAAAACCAAAAGCTGGGAAGCTTCTGAAAAGAAAGGAGAGGGAGAATTTTATGTACTGCCATAAATGAGGAAACATTAACTTCTGGAAAGCCGTGAACTAAGAAGTATATAGCATTTTAATAATGCTTTTTAACATCCAGGGCTGTTACGTTGTGACTTCCCACATTCCCAGGGACTTGCAGGACGTGCATCTTTCTGTTTGCTTGGTGTATGGTGACCCTAAGGAATAAATAGGATTGGTTGGATTGCACATGGAAAAGCTGCTCTTGAAGCTGAAGGTGAAAACTGAGATAGGTGGGGGCTCCACCTGGGCCTTCAGTCACTTGGTTTTATTCATCTCTTGCACTTAGATGAGAAACGGGGAGTTTGGCTTAATAAGAATATTCATGTTTCATCTTTAACGTGCCTCTAAAACGTCCAAGTTTAAACTTGGACATCTGGAGAACGTGGATGGCAGCACAAATCACCTCCTGGCTGGTTCCTGAGGGGGGCTGTATGGAAGAGCTTTGTGAGCCGAAGGATTTCCCCTTCTCTTTGCCCTTCCATGCTTATCTTCAAACCATAAACTGCCAGCTCCATCCCTCATGACTGCTGAACTGGCTCTTGTTGTAAGAGGATCTTCATCAGGAAGGAATGTGGATAGAAGACAGATGCACATTTGCAACTCTTTGTTGGCCTGAAGTCTGAGTTACTGCTCTTGGAGGATGCCAAGGCTTTTGGTGTAGTCATAAATTGATTCTAGTCCATAAATGTATTTGAACCAAACTAAAGGAGTTTGGTGGGGTTTGGTTGGAGTTTGCCAGCAAGCCTCTGGTAAAGAGAGTGTGTATCTGCAGGGAGGTGTAGCGTAGCTAAGCTTTCCCTTCTTGGTGTGTTATGGAATTGGGATGTTAACATCTCTGGTTTGGTAGGTTTGGGGCATTTACATCTCTAAATGGAAGGCAAACACTTGTCTTGTCTCAGCTACCCCCCTAAATCCATGTGAACAGAACTTCATAGGGAGGATGCTCAATCCCTGTGGGTGGGTTGGTGTTAGGGACAAATGGAGCCCTTTGAAGACTTGTTGGCTTTGCTGTGGAGTGTGACGTGTTGGGAGCTAATTGTACTCAGCACACCACAGTGCCTGTGCCCTTCCTTGTACTGTAAAATGAGCTGCGGACCAGTATCCACTAACTTCAGCATCCCAAGACGATGCCGAGAGCAAAGTCCTGCAGAAGTCATGTCCTCTCCCACCAAGGACGCCAGATTTTCTTCATCCTCGTGCTTTGTGGTTTCTGAGGGTTTTGGGCTTGGTTGGGGGGTTTCTTTTTGCAATAATTGGATCTTTCTTTGCAAACTGATTCCTGAGATTCCAGCCTTGAGCCTAGAGCACATCTTTACAGCACGCTGCGAGCTCCCAGAAACAGCATCACATTGACATAGTTATAATTAACTTAAAGGAGTTAATAAACCAGAACTCGCTGTGGAAGTTGGCAGGGAAGTCACATTTTCGTCAAGCTCCCTTGTGATTATAGCTTGGGAGCTGGAACAGCAGAAGGGGGTGGGAGGATGTCCTCCGGTGCCTGTATGGAATGGCTGGAACCAGTGGAAGTCCTGTGAGCTTGCTGTGATTCCCATAGGACACCAGCCAGCTCCCAGGGGAGATGCTGTGGAATTCAGGATGCTTTGGATCAAGGTGGGAGGTTTGTGTGTGTTGGGATGAGGAGGGTGATGCTGGCCGGGAGGGAGATGGGAGCAGCGACTGCTGCTGCTGTCATAGCTCCTGTCTCCTGTCTTGTCATATGTCTTTTACACTGTGGTTAATTCATGGATTCACAGGAGCTGTTTAATTCATTGCTTTGCTGCCTCTTCAATGAAACACCGAATCCTGACTCATCTCTGACTCTTCCTCCTGTGTCTTCCCTTCTTTTTTTCCCCTTTGTCAGCTGTGTTAACTTGCCTGTAACTGACTTGATGGAATGTCAGCCTGGATAGGAGGAATCCAGCAACTGGAGGGTAGGAAGCTGACAATTTCCAAGGAAATATGCTTTCAGAATAATTGAAAAAGTCTTCAGGGCTCTCGTTACCCTTTGGAGATGCAATTTGAAAGTCTGAAAGGGTTTGAACCAGAGGAGTGAAGGGAGAAACCCATTCCTGCCCAGGCAAGCTGATGGCTCTTAGGAGAAAGAGAAGCAGAAAGAGCTTCTTGCATGTTTTCCTGGCTGTTTTCCTTGCTCCATGGTCCAGAACTACTCGAGTTCTGGACCATGCAGTGGCTCTGTAAGGATACAGGGTACCTGCTGAGGTGATGCGCTGGTGGAACTCATTCCTTCACGCAGCAATTCCTCTTCTCTAATGGAGTTATCAATGACGAGAGGTTTCGTGTTTGACAAAGCCCTATTGCCAGTGGCTTGGAGAGGCAAATGCTGCGTGGACACAGAGGGCTCTCGCTGGCAGAGGAGCACCAAGGTCTTGAGCAGGAACTTTCTGTTCCCATCTTCCGCACAGCTCCGAATCCGTGTTTTCATTAGGCAGCTGGTTGAGGAATTGGTTCCTCACAAGTGGGTGGGTTAAATAATCAGAGGAATACAGTTCTTGAGTGGTTATCTGTGATTTTTAGCTGTCGAGTCTCTCCGATATCTCTTTATCTGCTTTTTGGAGTCTTTGCAGCAGGGTAGTCATCCTCCACCGCTGCTCCTAAATGGGGAGAGAGGGGAAGGTGTTTGGCTTTTTGCATCCAGGATTTTTAAACCTATTTGCTCCAGTGCAGTAGGTTTCTGTGGGGATAGAGAGCAAGAATATCGAAGGGTGGGTTTTTTTTCCAACAGTGTTTTAAAACAAAAGGTGAAGGAAGATAAAAGGCAGCCATGCTCTAATGTGGCACCCATTGCCCTTGGCCTGGTGAGGTGTTTCCCTTTTGCCACCCCCGGGAGGGGGCTGAAGGTGTGAATGAAAGAACCATTCAGGCTGAGCCTCCCTCCTGGCCTTAGAGATGATTTCCAGGCTGCAGCTTACAGGAGTTTGGGTCAGCACCAAAGCCTTCTCCTTGTTCTGGAATCAGCTGTTGGACAAATGAAAGCCACTTCCAGTGTCCTCAGCTGAACATCCAGCGCCCTTCCTGATCCCTGAACTTCCCTCTTTGCTTCATGCACATTTACTTAGGAAAAGAAAGTAGCGAGTGTCGACAGATCCGTGCAGATGTCTTTAATCAGCTCCAAAATGTGTAAGAATGGCACAAAGAAGCATAATAAAGTCATGTGTTTTATTTTAACACTCTTGCAGGGTCAAGAGCCAAATTGTTTCGGCTGCGTTTGGTTCTTGAAGCTGTTACAGGATCTCGCCATAAGTTTTTCCATGATTACGAGCCATGCAAGAACAGAAAGTAGGGTTTGACCCAGTGTTTAAATACTGTGATTTGCAAGGTGAGAGCTTTTCAAATTGTCTCTAAACCATTGCTGGCTAAACCCGTGTCCTTAGTTTGCTTTTATTTCCTATTACTTTACAGCAGTTTTAACCCATCTTTAGTTGTATTGCAGTGCAGCTTCAAGCTGCTTCTCCATGCAGAGCAGTTAAGTTGTTCCTCCTGCCCTCTTTTCCTTCCCCCATCCCTTATCTGGGAAAGGAAAGTGCTAAGTATGTGAGAAAGGAGAAGTTTATTGCTTAAAATGAGATCTACCCTGGTGGAAAAAAAGAAGTGTAAACCCACGAAAGAAACCTGGAATACTGGAATTGCAAAGAGAAGATTCAGTTTGTTTGCTTCCGGACAAATGTAAGGTGTTAATTCTCCATCCTTAAACTCTCTTGTTGTTCATGGCTTCTCACAGCAACCACGTTTTTGTGTTCAACCAAGTTGTGTTCACTCCTTGCAGGATCTTGAATAGCTCCAGCCAGGGTTTGTTTCCCTTTTGCCTGTTTACAGGTTCTGACTCATCTTTGGGCTTTCCTTCCATTGTAGCATTGTCGTTTCTCCTGGCAGGGAGTTCTCTTTATTCTCGCTGCTAGGTTGGGGCAAGCTGTTTGTTTACCTATGGAAAAGAGAGGAACAGATTTGGTTCTTCATCATGTCTTCCCGTGATGTGTTCAGTGTTTGCAGCAGGATGGCAGGGCTGACCCTGAGGCACCCCAGCTGCCTTTAGTACCCGCCGTGTGGGAGAGCCAGTTTTACTGATGGTTGAGTGATGCAGATGCTCCACAGCCAACCCTGCTGATGCCAAACAGGTTTCCTCTTGTCTGAGGAAGCTGAAAAGAGCTATCACTGAAGCGGTTTGGGTTAAATAAATGCTGTTTCTCACCTGGGTGTATATGGTATTGAGGCTTAGATTTGCAAGGGAAGTATCCATAATCCATAGATACCTGAAGAGAAACAGGTGGGGAACATCACAGGCAGCATCAAAGATGCTTTTGTGCTGAGAATTACCAAATTAAGGTGTAACAAAGCTGCTTTGTTAACCCACCAACGCTCTTAAGATCTCTTTTCCTCTTCAAACAGGAAATCTTGCTGGCCCACACAGGAAAAGCAAAAGCAGTTGACAAAAGGCTTGTGATTTATATAGTGCCAGCCTACTTCATTGTTAAACATGATTCTTTAATGCACTGGATCTGGTGTGTGATTGATTTCCTCGTAGCCTGTTACCCACCTGAAACCAGTAACGTAGCAGCATTGGAACCTGAAGCTGAATTCAGTGCGCTCGGAACGTGCGGTGTCCTGAGCCCTTGCAGGGCTGGTGGGTGACCTCCCTTGGCAGGGATTCCATCCGCCTCTAGGAAATGGTTCTTTCAGAGGCCCAGTTTTTGTTCCGCAGCACAAATCTCAGCTCTCCTGGTGAGACTCAAGGGTTAAATTCCCAACCCTGTCGCATATGGCAGTGAGCAGAATCACAGATGTTGATGATACAACATAATTAGTATTCTTTTATGTAAATGAAGGCTGTCAATGTTACCATAGTGTCTATAGTCTTTCAAGCTGGAATCTACGCTACTTGGTCTCACCAAGGCTAGACGGGATTATGCCATAATTTTCCATCAAGACCTGGACACAAAAATAAAGGAGAAAGAGGAGAGAAAAGAGCTCGGGGAGAAAGGTGAGAGGGAGGTGGGAAGGGACGGTTCCAACTTGGAGACCAAATCGGCCCTTTGTTTAGTGTGGGGTTTCCAAAAGCGCCTTTCCAGGCCTGAGGATTTGGGAGGGGATGGACTCGGCCCAAAGGAGAGGTGCAGAGCTGCTTGAACCGTTCCAGCTAACCAGCGGAAAGGGTTATTTCGACACTGCTCATCCCTCCATGGAGAGGAATGCTGAAGTGGCCACTTGTGCTCTAATCTGAAGTCGAGAAGAGTTAAAGAACAGAAGAGCTTTGATTTTTCCTGAACAGATTCCATCTTTAGCAGCAATGTCACCGGAAGAAGATAGGAATTAAAGTAAACCTGCATGATTTGAAGGCCACTAAGGATAGGTTTGCTTGGCCTGGTCAGATAGAGGCAGCTGCTCCATAGCTGTCTCTGGGGAAGCCACAGCCTCCGTTGCGTTAAACTTTGCTCCTTGTAGAGTGATTCCTTTTAACTACGTAATCCATGTGCCGGCTCTGACGCTCTCTGTGACATCTGTAACCACTTTGTGCCTGTTCTCGCTGTCTCTCCTGTCAGTGCTCCGTGTTGCGTTCAAGCTGTAGGTGTGTGAGTTAATTTAGTCTTTCTTGGGTTATTACAACAGATACAGGTTTGCAATCAGTTCTGCCTTTTCCTACCTCTCTTTCCCCCGCAGTTCTTTGTTGCAGTTCACACTTAACAACTATTCATTACTTCCTTTCTATTGTTTGATACTGGATATTTCAGGACAGCTTTTTTGCCTCCTTTCCCCCCACCCCGTCTCCTCCCCTCCTGCTTTCACCAAGTCAGTGATCGCAGGAGGTGCAACGTTTGCGCTCCGTCTTTTTGAACTCCACATCTTCTCTCTGCCATATGCTGGGTCATCCGCTACAAAAGGCTGATGGTGAAGAGGCTGCACGTGACCAGCAGGTTTATAGATGACAGGGAAATGAAAGCAGAAAGATGAAATTCCACAGGGCCCCTTCCATTGGGGTTCCTCCGTGCGCTCCGGCTTCGACTTCCAGAGCATTCCGGTGTCTGGAGTAAGAGCGTTCTCCGCAGTAGCTCTTGCGCCGAGGGGATTAATCCTGTTCCAGAGCAGCCCTGCCAGCGCTCTCAGTTTGTTTCTGTGCATCACACGAATATCCTCTCTCTAGGGCTTTGAAGCTGCGCTGCCTTACAATGAAGACTTAAGTAGTAATTAAATTCCCGAAGATCCGCCAAGACTCCTCCGGCTGCGATGGGGATGTTCCGTGCCCGGGCTGCGGCGGCGCGGGGGGAAGGATGTTTGAACAGGACTCCGTGAGTAGCTGTGCCCTCATCTCTTTCCCTTGGATCAGAGCATTGGAGGGAGCATACAAAGACGCCCCAGTGTCACTTGTGCTCTTTGTACATCTGAGCATCTCCTAGAAAGCGCGTGGGTACAGGACACGGAGTAAAAGCTTTCTGCGCCTTCTAATAGCGCTGCTTTGATTTCTCTTCAGTTACAGTGCAGTAACTCAGTTACCTTCTCTCTGTCTGTGTGCTCCTGGAAGCGTGTACACCTGCAGATGTTCCTTTAGGTTCACTCTAGCCCGTTTCAGTTTTTATTCCCTCCTGATGTTTTTTAAAGGCTGGAACGTTTGGGAGGCTGTGGGGAATGAGAGAATTCCAGGGTAGAACGGAGAGCCTGCAGGCTTGCAAATGCTCTGGTTATGACAATTATCTGGTGTTTTTGTGGCTTCTGCAAGGAGTTAGTAACCTCAGCCCGGTCCTGATGACATGCGTTCCCATTCCAAATTCATTTTGCATGTATCAGTTTCAAGAGGGCAGCTAAAGATCAAGCGTGTGTGTGGACTGAATTAATCTTTTTCTCCTTGGAAGCGAGCCATTCAGGTTGGGTGAGGCGTGCTGGCAGCTGGCTGGGCTGTCCCTCGTAGGCAGATAGACAGTTGTATGCTGTAGACCTTGTCAATCCAGTCTCTTTGGCTGGTACTGAAAACTGCCCACGGAAATAATGGAGTTGCTTGAGGGAAAACTGAGGTTGAGACTGACAAGATTCAACATCTGTGTTTTTATAGGTCTTTACAGCCAGCACGAAAGAGATGGTTTTAAACGTGTGCCGTGGCTCTAAGCCCCTTTTCTCTCTGTCTTTTTGCCTTCCAAGGTCAAAGCAGCGAAGACTTCCGTAAGACATGGATAGATGCAAACATGTTGGGCGGCTACGACTCGCCCAGGACCACTCCATCCTGAACCCCCAGAAGTGGCACTGCGTGGACTGCCAGACCACGGAGTCCATCTGGGCCTGCCTGAAGTGCTCCCACGTGGCCTGCGGGAGGTACATCGAGGAGCATGCACTTAAACACTTTGAAGAAACCAGGCACCCCTTGGCCATGGAAGTGAATGACCTGTACGTCTTTTGTTACCTTTGTGAAGATTATGTCTTGAATGATAACCCGGAGGGTGATTTGAAACTGCTGAGAAGTTCCCTGTCAGCGATTAAAAGCCAAAAGCATGACCCATCCACAAGAAGCGGCAGGACGCTGCGGTCGATGGCTTTGGGGGAGGACGTGTGCGGCCATCAGAGGAGCCCTCAGGGACAGTCTCAGATGCTGACAGCCCTCTGGCACAGGCGCCAGTCCTTGCTGGCGAAGGCGCTGCGGACCTGGTTCGAGAAGAGCTCCAGGGGCCAGCGAAAGCTAAGGGAGAAGCAGCAAAGGGAAGAGCTGGAGAAGAAGAAGGAGGCGGCGAGGCAGCGGCGGCGGGAGATGAAGAGGCAGCTCCTGGAGGAGCTGGCGAACGCCCCTCCCAGGAAGAGCGCGAGGCTCTTGTCTCACGTGCGCAGGGAGAGCTTGATTCCAAGGAAATTCAGGGAGGTGGCGACCGCTTCCCCTACCTCAAGGCAGATGCAGAGCAGCAGGTTGAAGCAGTTCTATTCCATCCGGCGCAAGCCGCTCATGACCCCCGGGGTGACGGGTCTGAGGAACCTGGGGAACACGTGCTACATGAATTCCATCCTGCAAGTGCTGAGTCACCTCCAGAAGTTCAGAGAATGTTTTCTGACGCTCGATCTCTGTGAAACGGAAGAGCTCTTGGCTAAAACTGTGAATGGCAAGTCCAGGATGCCTGGCAGGTTGGCAAACGGGGCTGCTGCTAACGAGGCAGGGAAGACTGACAAAGTGGGATCATATGGCACGCAGAGCTTGCCAGCTGGCTTAAATGGTGGCTCCTCCATAAGCAGGAGTTTGGAACTGATACAGCCCAAGGAGCCGAGCTCAAAGCACATCTCCCTGTGTCACGAACTGCACACCCTCTTCAGAGTGATGTGGTCTGGCAAGTGGGCGCTCGTGTCCCCCTTTGCCATGCTGCACTCTGTGTGGAGCCTCATCCCGGCGTTCCGAGGGTACGATCAGCAGGATGCTCAGGAATTTCTCTGCGAGCTCTTGGATAAAGTGCAGCAGGAGCTGGAGTCGGAAGGAACGAAGCGCAGGATCCTCATCCCTTTCTCGCAGAGGAAGCTCACCAAGCAGGTCCTGAAGGTGGTGAACACCATTTTTCATGGGCAGTTGCTTAGTCAGGTATGAACCTGCTTTTGCACAGGCATCCGTTCGAGCCCTTCATCCAAGCTCTGTTTCCTCAGGAGCCCCCAGATACACGAGAGGAGCTGCTATGCAGGTTGTCAGCGTTCTCCAGCCTTGCCACGGGTCTTGTAAGCTCAGTTGACTTGAGCCACTTTGGAGTGAAATGTGCCCAAGTACAGAAGCCTTCAGTTTTCAGTTTTTCCTGTGCTTTTTAAATGTCTTTGTAATTTGGGTTTGCCTCTCCTGGTTTTGTTTCCATGTCTGGAACGAACATGATGGAGCACAGAGAGGGCTTGTGACAAATAAGCTCCCTCTGACAATTTGGGGGTTTCTGCAGGCATATGAAAGTCATCTCGAGACCCGGAACACGCTTAACATATGTTTCTGTAGGAGATGAAAGTGCCTGTCGAGCTGCTTGGTCTCTTATTCCTGTGCCTTTCCCTTGTCTGAAACATATTGCTCCCTAACAGACCCACAGTGCCTTTTGAAAGCTCTCCACTACCTTTGCTTTCCAGGAGAAAGGAAACTTGTGCATAACTTGACACTCCAGGGTTTGGGAGATCAGACCACGTGTGCACGTTCTCATCACTGTTTCTCTCATCCTTCTCAGTGCTAGCGAGCATCCCCTTCATTGAGCTTACTCGCGTGGTAAAGATTAAAAGGTGCATTTCTCAAGTCAAAGCTCTTGGCTTTCAGGGCAGGGCTGCTTGAAGTCCTGGTTCATTTGAGTCATCTCTGCAGTGTGTGAGCTTCTTGTGGACCTCTAAGCTCAGTGTTCTTCGTTCGCTTGGCTCTGGATGGTGGGGTGTTGGGGCTGATGTAGGTTCAGCGATAGGTCTCTTAACAATGTGAAGATACAAATCAGTGTAATTGATCTGCACCTACGATACACTATCAGTAACTTGCCAGGCTATTTGTTCTGCTTGTGTATGTGCACTGTTTCATTTCAAACCCCTCTACGCACAGGATTCCGTCCCTATCTTCTAGCTACAAATCCATCATCAAGTTGCTTCAGTGCCTGAAGCTGCAAGGTTGGAAGCTGGTTTCTGGTGGATGATTCTCACAGTACCACAGGGTCTGACCAGGTCTGCTCTCTGGTTTCATAGAACCAGAGAATAGTTCGGGTTGGAAAGGACCTTAAGATCATCCAGTTCCAACCCCCCTGCCATGGGCAGGGACACCTCACACTAAACCATGGCACCCAAGGCTTTGTCCAACCTGGTCTTGAACACCGCCAGGGATGGAGCATTCACAACCTCCCTGGGCAACCCATTCCAGTGCCTCACCACCCTAACAGGAAAGAATTTCCTCCTTATATCCAGTCTAAACTTCCCCTGTTTAAGTTTGAACCCATCACCCCTTGTCCTGTCACTGCAGTCCCTAATGAAGAGTCCCTCCCCAGCATCCCTATAGCCCCCCTTCAGATACTGGAAGGCTGCTATGAGGTCTCCACTCAGCCTTCTCTTCTCCAGGCTGTTTGTTTTGTTGCTTCCTCGAGTTCTCACTTTCTGCCTCTGAGTTTAATAGGAAACTTTTCTGCTCTTCTTATTTATAATCCTCTTGGGATGAGATGAGAAAACGAATGCATCTGAAATGTGGCCTTTCATGCTCTGTTCAGGAAAGATTCTATATAGTTAGCAGATAAAGCATTAAAGGAATTGCACACTTTGAGATATGTAAGGAAGGCAGAGAAACTATGGAAGGATGATGGCGTGCTAAATGCTAACATGTACTTTTTGTAGTAGGAAACAGATCCAAGGTGCTTGTTACCAGCTGTAAATCAGTGTTATACCTGTAACAGTGTTCATCTGAGGAAGTAAAGCCCATAAACATGAACGTTGGCTCTGTCTGGGGGGGGATTGAGAAAGTAGTTTGAATGATTTGCTCAAGATTAGCTTTCAGAGTGGAAAGAAGTCATGTTTCTCTTGACTCACAGATCATCCTGCCTGTGAAACTGCAAGGCCTTTGGGGCATAAACCTGCTCCTTAGATGTGACTGTAACTGCCAGGCTGCAGGTGTACACGCACATAACTCCGTTTGTGTCATCCCCAGGTCACCTGCATAACATGCAACTACAAATCCAACACTGTGGAGCCCTTCTGGGATCTTTCCCTGGAATTCCCCGAGCGCTATCACTCCATGGAGAAGGGGATTGTCCCTGTTCACCAGGCAGAGTGCATGCTGACAGAGATGTTGGCCAAGTTCACCGAGACCGAGGCGCTGGAAGGGAGGATATACGCGTGCGACCAGTGCAACAGTAAGTGAGCTGCTGATGCTGTCTCTGTACCATCTCTTTTTCCAATTGAGACGTTTCTGATGTGTGTTTGATGTGTCTCAAAACGGGGATCGTCATCCGCATGTATAGGAAAACTGCTCTTCCTTGCTGCTCGTGCTGTTTTGTTTCCTCCTCTTGGTAGCTTCTGCTCCTTTGGGTACCGGTTTGGACCTGATACAACATTTTTCTTGTCTCCACCATTCAGCAGCACAGTTTGCTAAGGTTTTACTATGACCCTGCTCATGCTTTCCCCACTTGCCTTAAGAGGAGAAGGCAACCTCAAGAATTCTTCTGGGGGTAAGAGGGGGCCTGGATTTAGGGGCAGAAGAAGGAACCTTATCCCCTGTGGTTTGCTCATCTCTGCATCGTAGGAAAGCTTTTATAGCAAGTCATCCATATGCAGCTTGCTCTTGATTGAATCCTTTAACCAGAATCACAAATGCAGAGTTCTCAAGGTGTGCTGCCAGGTTCCAGCTTCCAGCTCTCTGTAAGCATTTTGTCAAGAAGCACTGAACTGATGCTATTTGGGCAGTCTCAGGTTAATGTAATACCTGTTAGATGGATGCACATGTTTTGCTGCGCTCAGCTAGAAGATGACTTCTCTCTTCCTGTAGCAAATCTGAGTGTAAGGTCATTATATGCCTGAGAATAATTTTAGCTGTGTTATAACCATGCAGCTCAGCTACTCTGAGAAGCTGCATTTGAAATATTTTTTCATGCAGGTATTTATGGCAAATATTCATCCCTGTGGGAGGAAAATGCCAATACCTTGACTTGCATTGCAACTAAGCAGCTGAAGCAGCAAATATTTGTAGAGATCTGTTCTCTGTCCACTCACAAATCTGTTACCAAACATCTTCACGGAGCATTAGGAAATAACCATTGACGAGATGTTCTTGAAACAATGCCAAATATGATAGGAGTAGATTCTGGTTCACAGAGTGTTGATGTGGGTGAGTGTGGCTTCGTCTCGGCTCTGTTTTCCTGGATTCTTTGTGGAAGCCCAAATTGTAACCGTTTCTTCAGAGTGAAATGAGGAAGGGAATCTTAACCAGCTGAAAAAAGCCAGGGGAAGGCAACCAGCCTGCACCTAGCTGCCAGAAACTACTGGGGGCACTTGTCAGACATGATGGAGGAGGAGCATCCCATCTGTTGTGAGCTGGTGCAGTGAGGTGCAGAAATCTAATTAACAGGTACCTTTCTTACTGGAAGCTCTGGAAGCCACCTGTCTTCCTCCTGGTACACTCATATGCTCAGTGTCCTGGAAGGAGTAATCCCTGGCAGGAGGAACCTTTTTTTCCCTCCTCTCTTTTGGTTCAGAGGTGGCTCCTGCTCTGTGAAGGAATTCATAGGCGATGTTGACTCGCGCGTCCGTCGTGAGTGCACGTGAGCTGGAAGAAAAGAGTTCACAACGGGCTTGTTTCCCCTTCTGAAAGCGAATTCCACCCCAACAATCTTTGCCTCGGTGTTTTTCATTCTGTTTGGTAGGCAAACGGCGAAAGTCTTCTCCTAAACCCCTTGTTCTGAGTGAAGCTAAAAAGCAGTTACTGATCTACAGACTACCTCAGGTCCTCCGGCTGCACCTTAAACGATTCAGGTGAGTGGGGCACACTGCGTGGTGTCGGGCAGGAGACTTGACTTTGGGAGAGATGTGATTCGTGTGGGCTCATCACCCCTCCCTTTCTGGTAAATGCATTTTAACCCAAACCAGAGAGGTGATTCCCTCTCAGAGTACATCTCACATTACAATCAGTAGCCTGTTTGTAGCGTGTTTAGTGCTATGCACATAATGTAATGTTTTATACATGTTAATGCTGATTCCCTTGCATTGTACTCGACAGCAGTTGTCTGAGTTTGGAGGCAACTTGAAAGAGTGGCTGTGAGATGGATGAGCTGAGTGAAAGATTTGTTGAAGCTGGAAGCCTGCGCTAGTTAAATGCCAACATTATGGATGTAGCCATTGAGTAAAGCACAGCAGCCCAAGCTCAAAATACTGTGAGCAGTTTCTGAAGCTCAGGCCAGGCATTTGAGGCAGGAGGGGGGGGGGTAAATTCCAACTGAGCATTTCAGCCCCTGTCTTGCTGTCACGGGAGTTTGGCTTGCTTTGTGCTTGGCCGTTGCAAATCTCCGCAGTACCCTAACGATAACGAACGGGCATCGGTGTCAGAATGAGCTCGGTGCAGGAGATTGTTAGAGTGGAAACAGAAGGAAAGAATTACACACCGCCTACTTGACCCAAGCACAGAAAGCTCTTCAGAGCTGTCGAGCAGCAGCTGCTTTTGTGTGCACCAGAGGCGAGAAGCGGGAGCCGGAGTCTTTGATTCGTGCCCTTGTGTTTGCAGGTGGTCTGAACGTAATCACCGCGAGAAGATTGGGGTCCATGTCCTCTTTGACCAGGTATTAAACATGGAACCTTACTGCTGCAGGGACTCTCTCTCCTCTCTTGACAAAGAGACCTTTGTCTATGACCTCTCCGCTGTGGTGATGCATCACGGGAAAGGGTTTGGCTCAGGACACTACACAGCATATTGCTACAACACAGAGGGAGGTGCGTGTGCCTTGTTACGGGGGAAACAGATTCAAGAACCTCGTGTTTTGTTCCACAGACGTAGTGCGTTGTAAAGCTTTCTGATGGAAGTTGGTTGGAATCAATTTCCCAGCGTTTGGTACTTTGTTTCCCAGAATGGCTTCCCGGGAGCATGTTTTCTGGGCTTTTGCCTAAAGCCACAGATTGCTGTTCTTTGCTTCGCAGCCCTTCGGGATGCCTTTTATTGCTTGCTGTTAACAGCATGAATGCTTCATTTTCTCATGCAGCGTAACTCCGTGGAGCTGCTCCAGCTGGGTGTCTTTTCTCAGTATCCTTGGGATGATGAGATAAACAGAAAGTGTTTTGAAGCTGGACAGGAACCATTCATGAGTAACATCCGCAGGGGTTTTGTGCCTTTCCAGCAGTCTCTCTCTGCAGCTGGATCAGTGTTGATTCTGCCTTCGGACTTGGGCAGAAAGAGCTACAAATTGCCTCTCTCCAGGGAATTTTTCTTTTCCTAATGGAGCTCTTGGGCTATAATATACAGTTGGTTAAATTACAGTTTGGTATTTCTGAACTCTGTTAATGGCACAGAAACAATCCAAATGTTTTCCAGATCAGGAGCTCCTTTCCAAAGCATCCGTAGAGGAAACGATAGAGATGCCTTTTCTCCTCCGCTGCCCTTTTTCTCTGTGGATGTTTCCTCTGAACCGTTCCAAAATGCATGCAGAAGGAGTTAACGCCTCCCTTACTAATACCGTCTTTCTCACTTTGATTCCTAGGGTTTTGGGTCCACTGCAATGACTCCAAACTGAATGTATGTAGTGTGGAGGAGGTGTGCAAAACCCAGGCCTACATTCTGTTTTACACTCAAAGAACAGTGCAGGACAAAGCGAGAATCTCAGAAAAACAACTCCAAGCTCAGGTGCCATCCAGACACAGTGATAATAAGGACAGAAGATTGACATTCCCATGATGGGGAGCTCCGTGACTCAACCAACAGCCTCCGTTTCCTTTACAGCCATTGGCGTTCACGTCTTTCCTCTTTGTAGGAAGAAAGGCTCACTGCGGGAAGGGGATCAGCTCTTGACATTGGCCACCCAGGGTCTGGAAAAGCCTGTCGAGCTGTGCCGTTCTGACACGTAAGGTTGCAGTCAGGATCTTGTTTAGAAAGCATCTCGTCGTTCAGTATGCTCCCAGAATGAAATGGGAAGGTTTGATGCTGTGTATCCCTCATCTCAAAAAGGATGTGGGTAAGGCGTGTAAGAGCTGAGCACAACCAGGATACTGAAGCATTCAGCTGGCTTCAGAAACCTTCACTACCTGGTAATGGTGATAAAACTGCAGAAGGAGCAGGTACAGTCCCCTCCCCTTCAGTCGCTGTTCACATTGCCAAGGTTTGAAACGCAGATCACCCAGGTATGTGTTGGGACAGTTGTTGGATAGATGGAGTTGACGGCCCTCAGAGCTGTTCTTGCTAGAGAAGTGTTAAATGTTCTTCAACCAGGGATAATACTGCCCCGGGGCCTCAGCAGTCTCTGGGATACCAAGTTCTTTGCCATCCGTTGAGGGCAAACCCATGGTGGGCAAGCTTTGTCAGCAGCTCCTCTCCTCTGTTTCTGGGGCTGTGTGCACCCTCGGTGGTTTGTTCTCCGGGCTGAACTGAACCGGCAGCTAAATTCACAAGGAATGTGATTTAAAAACAGTTCTGCTCTGGAAAAAAAAAAAAAAAAAAGTCTGTTTAAAACACAAAACTCGGTCCTAAACCAGGAATGTAGCAGTGTGTCAAATCTGTTTACAGTGGCAGCAAAAACAAAGCCTGTGCTGCAGGCTTCTGCTGGCATAGCTTGGTCGTCAGGATGACAGAGGAGCCTGAGCCCTGGCTGTGACAGCAGAAGCGGGTGGCATGGAGGCATCTTACACTGGCAAAGTAGCACTTTCATACAAGCGTGGTGTGTTTTCCTTAGGGGAACAGGGTGGTGGTGAGACCACAGCAGTGAGAGGCTGCTCCTATTGCTCCTCTAAGGGGAATGGCCACGGATTGCAGTTGTCACACAAAGGAGGCTGTGCAGAGCTCAGCCTGCGCCGTCTTTGTTTCTGCTGGGCCATAAAGGGAAGGAATGTACTTCAATGTCAAATTCCACGTCGGGTTTGAAAGGCAACGAAAACGTCTGTATGTGTGGTCGTCTTGGGTCTGGAATTCTGTGGGAAGCACAGGGCCTTAGCTGACTATTGACAGTCACTTCTCAGCCTACAGTTGCACCTCAGGTGTGGTTTTCTAAGTTGGGGTTTGGCGGTTCACATGTCATGTTCAAATCTGAACCCTCTAAGGAGGCACGATGTCTGTCAGTCTTCATGGTCTGGGGAGGGTTTAAAGGTGAAATAACCTCAAAAATGAGCTGCTTAAAAACCGGTTCCATTTTCAGGTAGAGAAGTTATAAAAGTGTTTCTCTTCCTCCCTCTTTTTCTGCTCTTATCCGTATTTATCCATCACACACACACCCTGACAACCTCATGCTGGTGGTGGAAGGGGGAAGAGGTAAGTCTCCCAAACGCTGTTCCTCCATTTCCACTGCCACTACTGGGACTGTTCTGTCCTGTGGGCGCATTGGTCTGTGCTGCTGTGGCTGCTGTTCCTCGCTGCAGCCGTGCAGGTGAACACAGCGAGCAGAGCACAGTGTGGTGCTAGGTCTCTGTCCTTGAGGTTCCCCATTTCCCGTGTGTCTGAGCAACGTGCTGCTTTTTGAGGCACCAAAACCTGTCTTTTTTTGGCAATTCGGTCTCATTTTGACATCATGGGCTCGAATTCTGTTGGAAACAAGACAGTTTTAAACCAGTTCCCATAGGACTCTGTCAGAAGTTGTAGTTCTGGTTCTGTAGATGTAGCAGCGTCTGGAGGGATTTCAGTGAATGTCTTTGTAGCCTTGTATTTACTCAGTAGGGAATTTACTACCAGTGAATAAAATGCAAGAGGCTAAATTGCGACCCAGTAGCAGTTAATTGTGGCTGCTGACTGCAGGGGAGGCTGAGTTGGCTTCAGCGCAGGTAGGAGTTGACATTCCTGGAAGCATCAGGATCTTGGGATTATCAGACACATGATGGGTTCTTTTCTAGAGCTCTGGGAACGCTATGTGTCAAAAAGAGAATTCAAGGGAAAAGTAGTGCTTAAAATTGCCTTTTTCATCTTAGAGGTGGAAAGGAAAACTGGTATTTTTCCCATGCATCCATCCTTCCAGGCCTGTCCGCTCTTAAATACGAGGATTATATTCTCCTAAGTGGCAGTCACAGTTTAGTGTGGCTACCAAATGCACGTTCCCTCTGAGTCCCTCAGTCCTGTGGGTGTCAAACTCAACAGGAAAGCAAACCTTAGTGCAGCATCCATTGATCCTGCAGGGAGCTGAGGCTCTCTGCTGTGGTGCTCATCTTTTGACTGAGTGTTTGGCATTAAGAGTTGAATTCAGTTGTCACACGAGGCGAGGGGGAGGCACATTTGGTAGCGTGTGCTGGTGACACCTTTTGACATGAGTGGCCTCTCCATGTGTCATCAGCTCGGTTGCGCTGAGATGCAGGGATACTGCAGTCAGAAAGTGATTGCCCTGATAGGGAAGGAATGAATTTATACTTCAAAGGATCTAAACTTGCTTTTTCCAACACTGTGAAGTTTCTGTAATATTCAGCTTTTATTTGGAAGCGAGAGCGTATAGCATGTTTTATGCTGTTTGGTTTATATTTGTCTACTGCAGGCTTCTTTATATAAGCATAGCCCAGTGCTCCCTCTGTGGTGGACACTGTTTTATAGTGTCCTGCTTGCCAGAAATTCGGATTGGAAGTTACCTCTTGGGTACCTCTTACATCAGTAAGATGAAGGTGCTGTATCATTAGCCTGTAAAGCAAACTTTGTCCCTCCTGTAATGGTATGGCTTCAAATCCTGGTAATAGATTGATGTCTATTAGAATAACTCCAGGCTTAGGCTCTGCTCTTGCAAATACACAGGCAGGTGACATGGCTTGACTGGAGTCAGTGGTTGCAACATGAGTTCCAAGCTGAGTGTCTGCAGCACAAAACCCTTGCTTTTGGTACAACTGGGAGCAGAATTGGTTTCTCTGTGCACTGGGATTTCCCATACTGGGGTTCCAGTCCTGTAGCAAGGAGTCATTTGCCTTGAGGGATGCTCGGAGCACATGTGAAGGTGCAGGAAGCCTTTGAATGCTGGCAGATGGACTCGGGAGGAGCAGCCGTTGGGGCAGAACTGTTCCCAGCATATCCTTATTGCATCCAACTTGTAAGTCAATTGGCATTCCTTAATGTTATGTTTTTAGGAATGAAGACTTAATGTTTCCATGGCCAGGCGTGATACAGCATCTGCTGTCGCTGATGGAAACCACTTTATCTTAACTGACTTTATTCTGCTAGCAAGTCAGTTACAGAGATTGGCCTTTCTGTTACCCTTCATGGCCACGTTAAACTATGCACACTGCAAAACCAGTTCCTCTGCAAAGCACTGAAAATACCCTCATTTCCCTCCCACCTCCTTAGTTCTGACCAGAACAATTCTATGGTCTGGCTTTGACATTGTTAATGTGAGGCAGCAAATGGAGAACTACATAAAGGAGAGACAGGGAGATGAGTTTTCCCTGCCAGTACAGATGGGTGAACTAATTTTGTATGATTCCTTAGACTTGGTGCCTTGGATCCAATAACGTTTTGCATGGGACAGAAACCTTGGGAAATAAGTCAGGAATTCCCCCCTCTGAAGCAGCAGACAGACTTGTGTGCTTTTACAAGTCCTCAGCAGCACTGACAAGCTCAGAAAGAAGGATTTGAGTGCGACATGTCTGAACTCTGTGTATTTGTACCCCTTCAAATAACAGCTTGTGCAAAAGTGGATTAGAGTTGGCTTTTTAGATAAGAGTTCCCATCGTCCTGGCAGTGTTTGCACAGGTTTCCCCTTAGCAGCCTGGCAAATGCTTCCACACGTGAGCAGAACCGTGCTGTGGTTATGCCTGTGTAAGTTTAACATGCAATAACTATAGGTGTGTATGGTGACCAAGTGTCCCTTCTTCGAGGTGAACAGCAAAATCCAAGCTCTGAACACTGCCTTTGTGTGTGCATCTAATCCCTCCAGCAGGTTTCAGATCGGACAGGGAGGACTTAGGTTAAGAATTTATTGCCTCTGGGAATACAAAACCTCAATTTAGTGGGGTTTTTGGTGTCTATTACATTAATATTGATACCTGGCTACTGCAGATAGGGGATATGAAGCATTCTAGCAAGCTTCTAAGTTTATGAACCCATGTGTTTCAGTGATCAAAAGCTACATACATCAGTTACCTGTGCCAAACAGTGATCATTTCCTTTTGGGCTGCTCCTGTTGTGTGCCCTTTTGCCCAGTCCACGTAGTGATTGGGCTGCGTAGCTCCACACCTCCGATGAGGAATGGCATCTTCATAGTGAGTGTCCTCTTCACCTTACGTGTATTAAATGATGTTAGTCGGCCTGGCCCTTAAAGCTATTTCTTACTGCCTGCTTTATCAGATGTGTAAACTGCAGTAATTTATCACTGGCAACCCAGAGCCCAGAGTAAGAGAGATTGGGTTCTGTTTTCCTCCCTGCTTAATGTGAGCTTTGGTTAAGCGGTTACAAACATCAAGCCACAGCCCTCTATACATCGATCAAACAGCTTACAGGAAAGGAACAAGTGAATGAGTTCGTTTTCAGTGAAACTTGTGTTTTGCAGGTCTGCCTTTCCATAAGAGAAGCTTAAACACAGCTTAGAAACTTCAGGCAGCTGCTCCAAGGCAAGAGCTGCCTGCGTGAGTGCAGTGGGCTTGGGCAGGGGGCTGTGGGACTGCTTTGTTGACTGGAGGAAGGGCAGAACTGAAGCTAATCGTCAGCACTTTCAGACAGTCAATCCTGCTCCAAGTTAAGGTTGCTGGAAGGGGGCTGTTGGCAGAGGATGAGGTTTCCCTCAGTGCGAAATCCCCTTGGGAAAGCTGCACCTCTTCCAAGAGCTGGGGCTCAGGTGGGTTTCCTGGTGTTTTCAGTGGCTTCAAGTCAGAGCAGCCTCTAGTTTGAGCTTCTGTTCCTCCCATCCCTATTGACTTAAGCTGATGTGTGCCATGCTGTGCTCGTGAACCAGACCTGGCTTCAAGGACACTTCCAGGCAGCAACAAGGGACAAGAGAATCCGATTAGCTCCTGAATGTGGCTGGCCATCCGTCCAGCTGCCTCAGAGCGCGGGGCACGCGCGCTGCTCCTTCAGTTCGTAATTCATTGTGCTCCTAATCGTGGCTTCAGCTGCTTTTAGTTCAGTCGAGGGTTTGTTAAGACCACAGCCAGTAAGTCCCCTGTGGCAGCTTCATGTACTTAACTGCAGGGACTGCCCCCAGCCTGACCCCCAGCCTCGGGAGATTAGTGTGTTCCCAATCAAAACAGAGATTAACTATAAAGTGACTCCGTGTTCTAATTAATCTCCTTTTCCTGCAGAAACTCCTTCTGTGTAACTTGGATTATCCCTACTTCAAAGGAACTTCCATTTCTTTACAGGATAGTCAAAAACCTGCTTTGAAAACAGCGTTTTTAGGAGTCTGTGTGTGGGGAGCGGAGCGAGGTTCCCCCCCTGGGGCAAGCGAGGGGCAGTTCTGTCACTAAACATGAATGTCTTATCCTAAAACCCATGTGGGACTGTGCAAAGAACCTGCAGCCACATGGCAATCATGCTGCCATCCTGCTCAGGGCTGGGAAGTCCCTGTGCTCGACAAACAGCATCCTCAAGGAGCTGTCATGTAACGTAGCCAAATCACAGCCACGGCTCCCACATGGTGCTTCTGCTGTTGCCCAACGGCAAGTTTTAGGCTCAGCCCAGGGCACTAAAATGCTATGCAACACCAAATGGCTTCTCCTTCCCACTTGCAGTCATCATTCCCTAAAGCATCCCAGCGTTATCTCATCCAGACATCACCCAGGAAACATTTGGGCCTCGTCACAGGTTTGGTTTTCCCTTTGGATAAGCAGCCGGTGGGGCTCGTGGCCACCCCAGGCCTGGACTCCCTTCCTTTGTCTTTGGGGTGTGGAATATAAATCATGTTTTTATGATTTTTTTGTAAATCTTTACACTTTTTACACCTTGTTTTTTGTAAGCTGAAGTTTTCTTATTAAAAACGACACAAAACCAGAACTCCCAGCGGGTCGTGTCATTATTGTACAGACTTTAATAACCACCTCGACGGGGGTACAGAATAAAATCCCACACGTGATGGCTTCACATCCCCGAAGACACCACTCGTGAGCCTCGCACGAGGAATCCACCTTCCCTCTGGCATCTAAAAGCTTTTCCCCCCTTTGTCACTGCTCCAGGCGTGGCGGGGCTGAGGTGTGAGCAGCAGCGCTGAGGAGGAGGAGGAGGAGGACGGGATGAGGACGGGACGCACTCCTGCAGGCGAAGGCATCGCAAGGTGGAACGGCCGAACCCTGCTCCTGGTCCCGGCGGGCACTTCCCGGCGGCTCTTCCTCCCTGTACCGGCGATGAGGCAGGGTAAGGAGCGGCAGGGCTCGGGACCGCCGTGTGCCATCGATGCCTCCCGGAGCCCGGCTGCGCTCGGGGGGTTGCCTGGCACCGGGACACCCGCTCCCGAGGGACTCACCGCTACGGGACGGGCTGCGGGGCCATCAGGTCGATGTCCGTCAGGTTCCGGGCGACCCAGACTCCAGCGGCGAACAGCCCCAGGTTCACCAGCAGGTTCCTAAGGGAGAAAGCGGAAGCGTGGGGTCCCGTCGCCACTGCAGGGTCCCACTCCCGGTCCCTATCCTGTCCCCTCTGCCAGTTCCGCTCCCGGTCCCTATCCCGGTTCCTGCTCCCGGTCCCTATCCCGTCCCCTCTCCCGGTTCTGCTCCCAGTCCCTCTCCCGGTTCCGCTCCCGGTCCCTATCCCATCCCGTCCCTGGTCCCGGTCCCTATCCTGTCCCCGCTCCCGCTCTCTATCCCGTCCCCTCTACCGGTTCCGCTCCCAGTCCCTACCCCGTCCCCGCTCCCGGTCCCTATCCCGTCCCCTCTCCCGGTCCCTACCCCGTCCCCTCTCCCGGTCCCTACCCCGTCCCCTCTCCCGGTCCCTATCCCGTCCCCTCTCCTGGTTCCGTTCCGGTCCCTACCCCGTCCCCACTCCCGTCCCCGCTCCCGGTTCCACTCCCGGTCCCTATCCCGGCCCCTATCCCGTCCCCTCTCCCGGTTCCACTCCCGGTCCCTATCCCGTCCCCTCTCCCGGTCCCACTCCCGTCCCCTCTCCCGGTTCCGCTCCCGGTCCCTACCCCGTCCCCACTCCCGTCCCCTCTCCCGGTTCCGCTCCCGGTCCCTATCCCGTCCCCTCTCCCGGTTCCACTCCCGTCCCCTCTCCTGGTTCCGCTCCGGTCCCTACCCCATCTCCACTCCCGTCCCCTCTCCCGGTTCCGCTCCCTATCCCGTCCCCGCTCCCTCACCTGCGGAAGTCATTGCGGTCGGTGGCGAACCGGTACGCGCTGCGCAGCCACCCGCCCAACCCCTGCGGGGCAGCGCCCGGCCCGCCCGGTGCCGGTGCCGCCGCCGCCGCCGCTGCCGCCGCCCCCGCCATGCTGCCGCCTGCTCCTGCTGGCCCCGTCGCGGCGCGATGGCGTCACTTCCGGGGCGCTTGAAGCGGAAAGTGCCCGGACCCCAACGTTGGCCGGGAGCGTTCCGCCCCGCGGGGCCGTTCCTCAGGCCCCGGGCCCCGGGGGTTGCTCCCGCGGAACCGCTTCGGTGCCGTTCCCAGCCCCGCTGCGTCCTGTGCCCGGCCCCTGCGCTGACCTCACCGAGCTCCCCCTTCCCTCCGCTCACACCGCGCTGTGATGAGTAAATCCCCGTTCGTTAATCAAATCTTGCTTAAGAGTTACTGGAAAATTACGGCGCTTCGACATTGTGCTTATAGACCGCAGGCGTCCGGTAAAGTAAACGATGTATGGGGGAAGGAGATACGGAGCCTTCCTCCCCACACCCACCGGGAGGCAGAATGAGACCCCTTATCTACAGGTCACACAGAGCAGATACACCAGGAAGTGACACGTCCATCGGATGAAGAAGAGTATAAAACCAGTGACTTTGGGGAAGTGGGGTGCGCGCCGTTGGCGGAGCGGAGGCTCCCCGGCCGCCCAGCGCTGTTTTGCTTGCTGTGGCTTGCTCAATAAACCGATTTGATTCATTTGGTCTGGCTCCCGTCAGTTTATTTGAGCCACGTTTATAACAGTTTTGGTGCCGTGACTCGGATAGAGGCAATCTGGTGCGAAGCCCCACACAAGGGAGGCGCCCCGCTGTATAGCGGCCCTTGCTTGGGTGCTGTCTCACCATACCCTCTACCGACGAATCCTAAATTCGACAGCAAGCAAAAGAAAGCCGGCAACCCCGTAATCTTTGTGCACGAAGCTCCGAACGAAGATGCAGGAGTGCGTAAGTACAGGCCGGTTACCTGTTCGGTTGGGGTTGGGTATCCCGGAGTGTGCCTGTGTGAGATGTCCAGTTAAGGATGAAGGGAGTGCAGACCCCTCAGTAGTGCGGTTCCCATCTCCTGTGAAGGACTGGGCCACGAACAGGGGGCAAAAAGACTGTGTGTGTGTGAGAAGGCACTCCGGAAGATGGGACAGAAGAAAAGCAAGCCTTCTGATTCCATGGTGGGGGGTCCCTGGCAACAAGAAGTTGAGTTCCTAGCGGACTCAGGAGCGAAAAGATGAACTGTTCAAGAATTGCCCCGAGGATGTAAGATACCCCCGGAGACCGTACAGGTTACTGGAGCAAAAGGAGAACCTTTTGGAGTACCTGTAATAAAGGATGTACTTTTTGAACCGCATTCCAAAATGGGAGTGGGGTCCCTGCTGCTAGTGCCTGAAGCAGACTATAATTTATTGGGCAGAGATCTAATGATTGAACTAGGGATTAGTTTAGAGGTAAAGGATGAAACATTGAAGATTAAATTGTACCCACTGCGAGTAACAGATGAAGAAAATACAAACCTGAAGTATGGTATACCCCAGAACCGGTAGGCAAATTGGATATCGAACCGTTTTCAGTCACGATAAGGAACCCAGAAATACCAGTAAGGATAAAACAATACCCTTTGTCTAGAGAAGGGACTTCCCTCCCTCACACCGAATGGTGCAAGGGATTGTGAGACCCAGAGCCTGGAGGGGGTACGGTGAACCTGGAGAGGGGCTGCGGGCAAGGGCCTGTAGGGACAGGCCAAGGGGAATGGCTTGAACGTGCCAGAGGGGAGACTGAGATGAGCTCTTAGGCAGAAGCTCTTCCCTGTGAGGGTGCTGAGGCGCTGGCACAGGGTGCCCAGAGAAGCTGTGGCTGCCCCATCCCTGGCAGTGTTCAAGGCCAGGTTGGACACAGGGGCTTGGAGCAAGCTGCTCTATGGAAGGTGTCCCTGGTTGGAGATGGATGAGCTTTGAGGTCCCTTCAACACAAACCAGGCTGGGGTTCCATGACTCCTCAGCCATGAGCCCCATTCCTCTTGCTCTGGCAGCTCCCTCTCAGCCTTCACGGCTTTTTAGGAGGGGGAAAAAGCTTTTCTGCCCCCCCCCCGACACCGCTGCAGGAGGTGCCCGTTCCCATCAGGAGGGAGCAATCCCCATGAGCTCAATGACTCCTGGCACTGGGGGTTGCTGCTGCTGGGGCCCCCAGCACTGGCCCTTCCCCATCCTCTTTTTCCCTGCCCTGCCTCCGTGCCCCTGCTCCCTGCTGAGACACGATGGTGCCCGTGTGCTTCCACAGCAAACACTCCAGGACAGAGCAGCCGCGGTCACCACACCGCGTTGCCTGGGTGCAGCAGGACGGGGTGAGCCAGGACCAGGGCGCTGCACCCGGATGGAGCCTCAGCCCAGCACCAGCTCCTGTGCTCCCTTGTGCCAGAGCTGCGAAAAGCAGCCTGCAGGGCTGAGATGTGCTAAAGTGACCCGGCCCCAGCAGGGATGCTGCCTGCAGAGCCCCAAAGCCAGTGTGGTTTGCATCGTTGTGGGCTGTCCCCCAGTGCTGCGGGACAGGAAAGCTCCTGTGTGGAATGAGAACTGGCTGCAGGGCTGTAGCTATAATGAGACCTTTATTATCATACCAAGATTTTACCAGAGGAGCTTATCCTTACATAGTTTCTATCAATTGGCATCACTGTCCCATGCCTCCCATTTCCCTGCTTCCCAAGAGCTCATTTTGCCCTCCTGGTCTGGATCCCCAGACCAGGCTCGGAACAGAGGACATGCACCACTGGAGCCACTCAGCTCTCCAGGGGATGTGCTGCAGCCACCATTCTCCCTGCCGCTGCTGCATTCCTATCCCAAATCCCAAATTGCTAATTGATCCGCCCAGTTAGTTAATTGATTTATAGCTATTAGAGACCATAATTAGCCGACCAGCTGTGTGTTATCTGCCCGGTGGGAGCAGCCTTGAGAAGCAGTCAGCTCCGAGGGGCTGCCCCGTCCCTGTGAGCTCAGTTGCGCCGTTGGAGGATTTTACTCCATGCTTTTTGCTTTCCCTTTTATCTCCTCCTTTGCTGACATTTGGTATCTGCGAGCCTCTCTCAGGCCTTCCTCTTCTCTCTTATCTCCTCCTACATTCCTGCAAGGTCAAAAGCTTGCTCCACACTCCCTATCCATGCAGGAGTTTCTGCTGCTGGGCTGACCCACTTGGACCAGGTTGTTATCAAAGCGTTCCCAGGCAGCAGCAAAGCCTCCCACTGCTGTCAGCCCCTAACACAAGGCAGATGTTAAAGTGCTGGAGGGGCTGGGTGATGTGTGTGTACCTCGGGCTTCCTGGGAGTGCTGCTCTCATAGGAATGCAGGGAAATAGAGAGGAGGGGAAGCTGGACGTGCCTTGCAGGGGCACCCAGTGCCTGGCTGCTCCGGGAGGCCCGGCCATACCTGGGACCAACCAGGCTCCATCCGCAGGGCTGCTGCCAGCGTTAGGAGGTGACCAGACACCACAGCAGCTCCAGCCCCAGTCCTGGAGCCGCTGTGTCCCGGGAGCAGCTCCTCATTAACAAAGGTGGGTGCGATGGCAGCGTCCATCCCTGCTGGGCTCTGTCCTGCCAGGGCCACCTCTCTGCTCCTCTGCTTTCCCCCCCCTCATCCCTGCAGGCTGTGCTGCAGCCCCTGGGGGGTGCGGGGGCTGCTCCCCCAGATCCCTCCAGGATAAGGCTGGGAGCATCCCAGAGACGGCGTGGCTGATGCAGGTGTTATAAAAACTCCATCTTAGCCATGATCTGATTTAATTATTTTATTACAATAGATTAATATCGAGAGGCAATAAGCAAGCAGCGCTGGCTGCCCCGGGGAGTCTCCGCTCCACCAAAGACGCACCCCGTGGTCTTTAGGGTTCAGTCTCTTACACTCCTTGGTCTTGGGTTTCAGCCAATCTCTTTGTCTTCTTTTTCCCGGATGCCGACGTGGCTCCTTCCTGTTATAAACGTGGCTCAAATAAATTGACGGGAGCCAGACCAAATGAATCAAATCGGTTTATTGAGCAAGCCACAGCAAGCAAAACAGCGCTGGGCGGCCGGGGAGCCTCCGCTCCGCCAACGGCGCGCACCCCACTTCCCCAAAGTCACTGGTTTTATACTCTTCTTCATCCGATGGACGTGTCACTTCCTGGTGTATCTGCTCTGCGTGACCTGTTGATAAGGGGTCTCATGCTGCCTCCCGGTGGGTGTGGGGAGGAAGGCTCCGTATCTCCTTCCCCCATACATCGTTTACTTTACCGGACGCCTGTGGTCTAGAAGCACAATGTCGAAGTGTCGTAATTTTCCAATAACTCTTAAGCAAGATTTGATCAACAAACAGAAATTTACTCATTACACTTCCCATTGTTCTTTTCTTGTTGATGGGGTCTTCTTTTCGGTGAAAAAAAACTTCTTGGTAACGTGTTAACAGAACACTTTCAAGCTTCACCACAGTCCTAGCCCTATTTGTCCCATACCTTATATGGCTATTTGCCTAGTACCCAAGTCTCACAATATCCTGTAACAGGATGTGTCTCTTGGTCGCCCAACCATGCAGACCTTCAGGAAGTTGAGCAAATGGACTATCCCTTTGTTTCTTCTTCTCTTTCATCATAGTCGTGATCATTCCTAGACATTTCACACAACGTACAATGATCACAAAGAGTTCCAAATTGTTGACACGAATCATTCCTGCATATCCCACACGAGTGTGGTTGCAGGGTCCCCCCCTTGCACGGGTGCTCCATGTACCTGGGGGTGCGGGGGTCCCCCTTGCACGGAGCAGGGGCTGACGAGGTGCAGTTTGCAGGTCTTGCATCAAGCAGTGCTTTAAAGGCGGATGTGCTGATGGAGCTGGGATAACCGGAGGAATTCGGCTGTGCCTGTGGCTCTGAGGGGAGGGACACCACGTTCTCTGAAAGGCTCCAGGGGAATTCCCCGGAGGGCAATTAGCACCTAGTTGCAATTGGTTTGCATGGAGCCGGGGTTGGGGCGGGGAGGTTTCAGGAGTCCTGAGGGCTTCATCCCAGCTCCTGAGTGCTTGCTTTCTGCCGGCAGGAGAGCTGCTTCCCAGGGCTACCTGAGGCTGCTGCCGGGTGAAAGAAACTCCAGCGTGTGCTTCCCTTCGCTCTGGTGCTGCGGTGAGTGGTGCCCAGTACCTCCTGCCAGCCGGGATGGGGGCTGCGGGCATCCACTGGTGGCTCTGGGAGCCCCAGTATCGGGTCAGAGCATCCCTGACTGCGTCCCTTGCGATGAGCCCTGCTCTGTGCCCCACACCGTGGTCGGGGAACCACAAGGGCTGTGCTAGGGAATGTTTTTTTTGCCTCCGCGTCCGGGTCCTTTGCCCCGATGCAGAGCCCCAGCTGGGCAGGGGGGTATCCGTGCCAAGGAGCCAGAGCGGCTCGGCTGGGATCCGTGGGGATGATGCTGTGGGGTGCTGAGACCCGTGGGGTTTGGGGGATGGGGGTGGGGGTGTTGAGACGTGCTTGCGAGCGAGGGCGGGGCTCAACCAAGGTGTTGGGAGCATAAAACCAGTGAAGAAGATGCAGAAGGTCGCTGTGGGTCAGGATGATGGCGGCGGGCACAGGGACCAGGTGGAGGAGCTCTGTGGGATGTGGAGCGGGGCGGATGCTGCCCGGTCCCGTTGTGCTGCTTGATACCGAAAAGTGTTTAATCCAACGGCTGCTGGATATACCTGTGGCCAAGAAATACCCGTACACCGCGACCACAAGGCTGGACCACAGTCCCACCCGCAGCACTTTGTGCAATAACCAGGTATAAACACCCCAATTGTACCCTATGGGGATGAGTTCCACACCTGGTTGTATGGGCAGCTGGAGGGGTTTGTCCACCTCGCCCTCCCCAGAAGGCTTTTGGCAAGACTCAAGTGTTTCAAGCTGGGAAATCTGGCTTGTGATTGCAGCTGCATTGTTGGTGCTGTGGCTATTCTGTGGTTAATGGGTTTTATCTCTGACAACCCAAAAGAGCCGCATATCTTGCATGTGAATAAGCTGTACTGTGAACCTGACCGGGTCTTTCTGACGGGGCTTAGAGCTAACAGAGCTGTTCCTGGAGGGTGGGGAATGTAGTTATGCTTTTGTGTTTGCAACACATGGAAGCGGCCGCGGTGCTGGGAGGCCCCGTGTCCATAGGGAGCGGGGTCCCTGTGGTCCCCATCGCGCTGTGAGTGATGTGGGGATGTGCTCACCCGCACCTCTCCCTCCAGAGCAGGGTGCTGACCCCTCCGGGGCCCTTGTCCTCCCTGGGACCACGGCCAGGAAGAGCTTCGAGGCAGGATGTACTCGCCCACGGGCTCCAGGAGGGGCTTCCCCAGGCAGGTAGGTGGGTTTGTGACCCCCCTGCTGCCGTGCTGCCAGGGTAGTGGGAGGGGGGGAGCTCTGGGGGCAATGGGGGATGCTCCATTGCATAGGATGCTGAGGAGGCAGGAGTGCATCACTGATGTATGGGGAAGAATTGGGACTTATCTGCGACCTCATGCAGGGGAAGAGGATGGATGGGCTCCTGGCTCCCCATCCCTGCTCAGCATCCAGCTGGTGCAAGGGTCAAGGTGAGGGTCCCATCCTGCTTTCACCTCCCTGTGCTCTCTCCACAGCCTGGTCCTTGGCAAGCTGGACCATCACCACCCCGACGTTATGGCTCCCAGAACATGTGGGATGAGATGCCCCAGCGCAGGAGAGGGAGAGGCCAATGGTGCCCGGTAAGGGGCCATGCAGTGGGGAGAGATGGTGCTGTTGGGGTTCACCTGCAAATCTGGGGTAGCCAAAACCATGGGTTCCCCGTGCAGCAGGAGAGACAGAAGGGGCTGAGCACTGCCGTGGGGAGGGGGAAGCACAGCAAATCTAAACCCAGGGAGCTGCCATCCTTTGCAGCCTGATCCCTGGGAGCCCTTCCCTGGTCTTGACTTCCATGTGGCTGAGGAGAACAGGGGATGGGCACCCAACAACTGCCTCCCGCCACCATCCTGGCACAATGAAGAGTGTGACCAAGGACCTGTGGAGTGCTTCGGAGAGGGCCAGTACTCGGTATGGGGAGGTGGGCCAGGGGGATGGCAGCTGCGTGGCTGTCTCCAGTGTGCCACTGTCCTCACTGGTGGGGATTTGCCATTGCAGCCCTGGCTCTCTGAGCCCGGACCGTTCCCTGGCCCTGATGACCTCTATGGGAATGAGGAGAACAGGAGATGGGGACCTCATGATGTGTCACCTCCACGCCACTGGGACAATGAAGAATGTGACCAAAGACCTGAAGCCTGCTTTGGAGAGGGCTGGTACCCGGTGAGGAGAAATGGACCAGAGGGGTGGCAGCTGCGTGGCTGTTCCCTGCATGCCACTGTCCTCACTGGCGATCATTTGCCATTGCAGCTTTGGTCCTGTGACCCCAGGCCATTCCCTGGCCCTGCTGACTACTGTGGGAATGAGGAGTACAGGGGATGGGCACCCAATGACTGGTCCGCTCCATGCTTTTGGGGTGCCAGAGGTGACGGAGGACCTGAGGAGTGCTTTGGAGAGGGCTGGCACCCGGTGAGGGGTGGTGGACTGGGGGCAAGGAGCGGGTGAAATGAGCCAGGGGCCATTCACTGCCATGGTGAGCAGCACAATGCATGGGGACAGGTTTCCCTGCATGGCAGACCCCCAGCATCCCCTGCCCTGCTCTGTGTCTAAACCCACCTCGTTCCCTGCAGGAGATGATGCCACCCGGCCCCAGCCGCTCTACCTGGCGTGAATTCCCCAACGAGAGGCAGCACTCCCCCTGGCCCCCTGCCCACCAGACAGAGTGAGTGCCTGTGCCCATGGTGGGGCACACGGGGCCAGGCTCTGTGGCCAGGCACAGCCAAGGAAGGAGATGCAGCTTTGGAGCTAGCTCAAGGTCGAGGGATTGCACTGGAGATCCCTTCCAGCCTCAGTCCTATCTCCTGCATCTGCCTTTGTTCCTGCAGGGAGCAAGGTGGCTTCCAGGATGACTGCAAGCCCTGGGGATTCCATGGCCCTTCTAGGAGGCACTGCCAACGCCTTCGCAGAGCCCACCGAAAGCCAACCACGGTCCTGCGCCCGCTGTGTGTTCAGCCCAGAGGTATGTGCCTTACACTGTGCTCAGCACCAGCTCCTCGCTGCTCAGCACCAGCTCCTCGCTGCTCAGCACCAGCTCCTCGCTGCTCAGCACCAGCTCCTCGCTGCTCAGCACCAGCTGCTTGGGCAGAGCGAGGAGTTGCTCCTGTTGTGTGTCTCGCTCCGCAGGGTATTGGCCACCCTCTCGGTCTACTCGTGGCTCTGGGACGAGCCAGCCAGTGGTCAAAGAAGAGCCACTTACTCCCATCAAAGCTCCTGTGCAGAGCGGGGAGCAGCAGGCCAAGGTTGTGGGATTTCACTGCTTACATGCCAAACGGTGACCGGGTTTGCCTGGCTGGAGCACCGCACGGTGCTGCCGTGGTCCTGACCCTCACTGTGTCCTCCAGGACATGCCAGCAGCCAGTGAGAAGGTCCCAGAGTGCTCCAGAGCCACCAGCACCTCTCAGAAGAGCCTGGCTGCTGATCCCCAGGTTGTGACAGAGGCTGTGAAGACAGAGCAGGCAGCAGGAGAGATGCTGGTAGGAGATCGCTCCTCTCCTGGGGCACCTCTGGAGGTGTCTCAGGGTCTCCTTGGCCACTGTAACTCTTCCTCCTCGCTCTCATCCAGCCCTTTCGCTCTTCACCTTGCTGTCTCTTTGCCAGGCATGGGATTTTTCCTGACTCTTCTCCAGTGCTGCAAAGCCCCATGGTTTCCTTTGGGTTTTCCTTTGTCCCCAGGCTCCTCTTCCCGGGACAGACACATGGCCCAGCCTCACACCATTGCATGTCCCCAGGTTGAGCAGGCAGCCTAGGCCCTTCTGCTTTGGAAACAGAGCCAGCCCCGCTGGGGAAGAGTTCTGCTGGGCCAGGGGAGCAGCTCCTGCTTCTTCCCTCCTAAGAGCAGAGCCCAGGGAGCTTGCACTCCCCTTTGCAAACCCTTTTATCCCTTTGCCTGGGTGGCATCGCCAGCCCTCACCATGGGCTCTGCAATGCTTTGTTACAGGTAAAGCCATGCAACCAAAGCAGCCCTGAGGCTGGTGCTGGGTCATGTCCCTGCAGTCCCACAGCCCCTCCGGAGCCTGCTGAGCCATCCCAGGGCCAGCAGGGCAAGGTAGAAGCTGCCAGTGCTGGGGTGAGTCTTGGGGTGGGCAGCCCCATTGTGTGTGTCCCCCCCCAGGGGAGAGGCCACTGCTGAGGGCAGGGCTGTGCTGGCTCCCCCCATCCTGTGCACCCACAGCTTCTTGGTGACCTTCAGCCATCCAAACTCTTGCAGATCCCACCAGAAGATCCCACAGAGCCCAAGGTACAACCCAGAGAGGCTTCCTCCTGTACCTGCATCAAACCAGAGACCTCAGCAGGGACCCAGCACCCTCCTGAATCCAGTGAGGCGAAACCGGTATGGGGCAGGGTGTCTCTGCTCTCGCTCCGAGGTGTCCCTGCATGGGGCGGGTGCCCTGGGATGCTGCCGCAGCTTGGGAGCAGGATCCTGTTGGCAGGATTAGGGGCTGGGTAAAAGCACTGCTTTGTCTGGAGGCAGAGCCCGTGGCAGCCCTGGAGATGCCAATAAATGGGAACGAGCTGGGAATAGGCCAACAGAACAACGAGAGGCGTGATGGAGCGTGACCGACCTGGGGCTCCAGCCTCAGCGCGAGCGATGCAGAGCAGCTTATTTACTGCCTAATGGCCAAGAGAAAGCTGCTGGCAGGGCTCTTGTGGTGATGCTGGGGGGGAGCTGGGGCAGCTCTTGCATGTCAGAGAAGGGAGCCAAGTGGGTCCCCACACAGGGTGACCAGTCCCTGGCTAGCAATGGGTGCTGCTAGCCCCAGTTCAGCCTAAACCTTGCCCAGCCCCTCTCTCCTTCAAAGGGTCTGACTCTTCCTCACCTTTATCACTGCACAGGCTGCAGATGACTCGCACCAGCTCTGCTCTGAGCTCCCAAACCCCTCCCCAGCCATCACAGACCTCCGCTCTGCTGCTGTCCTCTCCAGGAAGGAGAAGATTGAGCTGGTGAGTCCTTGTGGCCCCTGAGCCGTGGGGGTAGAAGTGATGCTGGGTGATGTGGGATGTGAGTTTGGTACTTTTGGGGTCACTGGGGGGAAACGCCTCTTGGCAACAACAGTGGTTGTAGGGGAAGTGCTTGTGGGCGAGAAGGGCTTTATGTGGGCTCATGGGGTTTGTGGATGAGCTCTGGGGGGGGTGCATGCTATTGGTGGGGAGGTTTTGGGAGGTCCTGTGCTGACTCCATGCTGCTCCCCTGCAGTCCTACCAGCAGTTCAGCCTGACCATCGCAGTGGTGGCCACGATGCTGCTGCAGAAGGAGCCCTCCATGGAGGCAGCGCTGGGGCTGGCGCTGAGGGCGAACCTGCGCCAGGGCCGCATCCACCACCTCCAGGAGCTGGAGGACTTCATCAACAGCTACGACTCGGCCACCCCAAGCCACTGAGGGTGCTGAGCCCTCAGGTCAGGATGTTATGGACACATTGGTGCGGTCCCACCACCTCTCACGGACATGGAGGTGGGGGAAGTGGGTGCTTGGTTTTAGCCCTGCTCAGTGTGGGGAGGCTGCAGTGTTTGCTCCCCTCCACCCCAGCTCCTCGCTCCATTCCTGGTTCACAGGGATGTGCCCTGAACCCCCTGGGTTGTTCTTTGGTTTACATCTAAGTTAAACCAGTTGTGATCGTTGCAGCTCTTGCTCTGGCATCCTTCTGGTCCCACTCTCCTCGTGTTGCAGAGCCCACCGTAGGGGATCACTGGTGGCATGGTCAATGCCATGCTGGCCCCGAGGTGAGGAGGAATGGGGACAGAGCTGTGCTGGCTCTCTTGCGGTCAGATTTCAGCCGAACTTTATTGGAGCATCGTCGTTGGCAGCAGCAGAGCTGCTCCCTTGGTGCCATGAGGGATGGAGCATGGCTGGCCATCCTTCAAGGTATCCCAGTGAAGGATCCCACCCTGCAGCCAGGACCCTGCCTGTCCCCACAGGTCCCCAGCAGCAGGACGATGCAGGCAGCTCTGCCTTTGTCCCCTCCCCTGCATGTGGCTGCTCTCTGGGCTGCCACCGTGTCTGTGAAGGGAGGCCGCAGCTCCCTGCTCCCTACCTGCTTTTCCTGTTCCTAATTGCGGGAGAGGCCGCTGGGAATCACAGGCTGTTGTTTGCCGGCGGCTGCTGGGGGGGGGGAAGGATCCCAACAGCTTCCCATGAGCCTTGAGCCGCATCCAGCACACACTCGGAACGTGGTGAGAGCACGGCAGGGGCTGGCAGGGCAGCAGCCCGGGTCCAGTACCCCCAGTCCCTGCTGTTAGGACACGCTGCAGTGCTTGCTGCTGCCCCACGGCTTCACCGTCCTGCCCCTGGCCCTCTCCGGAGGCTCCCTGCCCAGGGAGCTCATCCCAGGCTTGGGAATGGGCTTCCCAAAGAAGAAACCCTCTTCCTCTGAGTCTGTGTCTGAAGATGAAGAGCAGGTGGGGCACCAGGAGTCATCCTCCTCTGTGATGTCCTGCAGGTCGATGTCCTCCGGCTGCAGGCTGTGCTGGCCAGGGGATGTGCCTGCTCGGAACGATGCGTTTCCATTGCCTGCGGGTGCTCTGGGCTCAGAGCCCCCCAAAACTGGGTGTCCCGAGCCTCCAAGCTCATTGGGACCCTCTGTGCTGGGCTGGGGGGCAGAGGGGTGTCCAGCCGGTGGTCCCAGCATCCCTGTGTGCGCAGCATTGCTGCTCCGCTCCTTACCCACTGCTCCGCAGCCCTCCCGACTCCTGAACGCAGGATGTACGGGGGCCGGATCTGAAGGAGCCTCTGGAAGAAGGAAAGCAAAGGTGGGTGAGAAGGGGAAGGCTGAGCCTGCCCTGCCCCAGCCCCTCGGCGTGCAGAGGAGGGTTTTACCCACCGAATCCCAACCACCAGCATTCACCCTGCTGTGGGCAGTGGGCTGGGGACTCGGTGCTTGTGCTGCATCCATGCCCCAGACCCCATAAAGTACCCAGGGGCTGAGCGGAGCCTGGTTTTGCTCCCGCTCCCCTCCCACCACATCACAAGCGGAGCAGGAGCATCCTTACCAGCCCCTTCCACCGGCTGCCTGCAGCCCCCGGTGCCGCCGGTCCTGCCCGCGGCGCTGGCTCGGGACAGGGGCGTCGAGGCCGGGGATGGAGCCGAAGCGAAGGCAGAGTCGGAGGAGTCGGAGGAGGCGCTGGAGGCTCCGTCCTGCCGCCGGCTGCAGGTCTCGGAGCAGAAGAGCCGCCCGCGGCGCGCCGTGAGGGGCTGCCCCCGCAGGGGCTTGCGGCAGCGGCTGCAGCAGAAGCAGGCGGCCCGGGCGTGCCAGCGCAGCCCCTGGTGCGTGGCCTCCTCGCTGTCAGCACCTGAGGGGCAACCACGGGTGAGGGGGAGGCTCTGCCCGCAGCCCCCCTGCCAGAGCCCGTCCTTCCCACCCAGCCGCAGGGATCTGGCTCCGGAGCGGCAGCTCCCGGCCCACGTCCTGCCTGGGGAGCCCCGGAGCAGCCTTACGGGGGGGGGGGGGGGGGCTACAAGGATCCTGTGCATCAGGGATGTAGCAATAAAGCAAAGGGTGATGGGTTCAAACTGAAACAGGGGGAGTTCAGGTTGGAGATAAGGAAGACGGTCCTCCATGTGAGGGTGCTGAGGCACTGGCACAGGGTGCCCAGAGAAGCTGTGGCTGCCCCATCCCTGGCAGTGCTCAAGGCCAGGTTGGACACAGGGGCTTGGAGCAAGCTGCTCTATGGAAGGGGTCCCTGGATCAGCTTTAAGGTCCCTTCCAACCCAAACCATTCCTTGATCCTCTTTCACCCTGCCCGGGTTGAGGGGTGCTGGGCCGTACCGATGGGGTCCCCGCAGGCCTGGCAGGGCTCAGCGAAGAGGCTCTCGAAGCATCCACGGCAGCAGGGGCGGCCGCTCTGCATCACGTAGCGCTGCCCGCGCAGGGGAGCATCGCACTCCAGGCAGCAGAAGTGCTCCAAGTGCCAGCGCCGGCCCTCGGCCTCGATGCATTCCTCCATGAAGATCAGCTGGAGGGGGAAAGCCATCCATAAAGGATCCATCTGGAACCCCGTAGCCTGGAGGATGCTTTGCCGTGCTGAGAGCACAGGGACTCGGGAAGGAACATTTCCTCTTGGCCATCAGCGTGTCTGCAGCTCCAGATGAGCATGCGGTCTCTTAACAACACAAAAGGGAGTCAAAAGCTTCCCCCCTGCCCAGCACTCACCTGGTCGCAGGAGGCACAGCGGGGCCGAAAGAGCTCAGCGTGGTGCCGGCCGCAGTAGATCCTCCCATCCTGCTGGAAGTAGATGAGGTCCACCAGGGGCTGGTGGCAGAAGTGGCAGGAGAAGCAGGACGGATGCCAGAACTGGTCCCCGAGGCGCGATGCTGAGACCCCTGGGTCCCCCTTGTTCAGCCTCCGGCCGCACTGCAAGGCAGAGGGGATGCGGTGTTTGGAGCCAGGCTGGGGATGGGTCCCCACTGGGGAATAACGGGTGCTCATAGCGGGGATGCTTCACCTTCTTGCAGGGACAGCCATGGCAGGGACCCGGCACGGGGCATGCCAGCCCCTGCCCCAGCGCCTCGCGTCTCCGTCGGGCACTGAAGGCTCGGAGCTGCCTCCTCTCCTCCTCGGCGAGGTCGGGGCAGTACCGCTCCTGCACGGGGAGGTGGAGGTGAGGGGATGGGGTGCGGGTGAAGCCCAGGTTGGGCAGCACCCAACTGATCGGTATCTTACATCGCAGTCCTGAGGGGGCAGCTGCTGCAGGAGGGCTCTGGTGCGGAGTTGGATGCTGTCAGTGGGTGAGCAGGGATGCAGAGCGGGGGCGCCGGAGCACGGCGGGACCTGAGGGTGTTGTGTAGAGGAGAGAAACACAAGTGGGTTTTTAGGGGGGTTCAAGCTGCATTGCTCAAACACATGCTTCATCGTGGGGATGCTCTGCTGTGGGTACCACTGTGGATGGTGATACCATTTCCATCATCCCAGGGCTGGGGATGCTCTGCTGTGGGTACCACTGTGGATGGTGATACCATTTCCATCATCCCAGGGCTGGGGATGCTCTGCTGTGGGTACCACCATGGATGGCACCCACAGAGCTGGGAGAGATACAGGGTGCTCCCACCTCGGGGGGCGCAGGCTCTGTGGGGGGCTCCGGATACTCTTCCAGGGCACAGCCGGAGTCGCTGTCGGATGAGGCCAGCGGGAGGCTGGTGGTGGTGGTGCCGCAGGGAGGGGGCTCATCGCGCTGGGGCCATGCGGTGCTGGGCAGGGACATGAGCTGGGGAGACAGGATGGGAGCTGGTGAGAGCCTCAGCGAGGCGGGGAGTAGGGCACTGATGGGGTGGGGATGGCTTGAAGCTGTGCAGGGAAGACCCCGGGTGTCCATGCTCAAGCAGCACAGAGGTTTCCCCACCAGTCCTCTGCTGGCACAGCTGATCCCTGGCCTGGTGGCCTGGCCCTGAGCGGGGCAGTGGGAGGAGACCGAGGTCCAGCCTAATCCAGTGGAAAATCGTATATTCCCCTCGGGCTGCTATTGTTCTGCAGCCACCACCTCTCCAGGCCCACGGTTACGCAGTGGAAACCCATCCTGCGCGTCCCCTCCTCCCCATGCGGTTCCTCGCTGCTCGCTTCCTTCCTGGCTTGGCTTTCCAAAACAAAGCCTGACCAGGGGCTCCTGGGGCTCCCTGGACACCAGCCCAGAGCCCAACGCCCTCTGCCCGTGCTTCCTGCCCTGGTGCAGGGATGGGGTGGGATGGAGCTGAGCTGGGTCCCAGCGCTGGGACCAAACAGCCCCAGAGCACCCCTGCAGATGGTTCAGTGCCCACCATGGATTGAGCGACTGCTCTGGAAAGTGTTTTACACAGCAAAGAGCTTGGCATGGGCTCAGAATAAGGGTTGTGGGGTGGTAGCCCCCAGGCCATGCACTTAGGTCCTCCTGCATCAGTGCCACCATGAGGACCAGTTCACCCAGCCCATCCTGGCCAGCACCAGCAGCCACATCCCCACTAAACACCTTCAACCCCCCCTGCTCCCTGCACCACAGATCACTTGCCTTCCTATGTAGGATCTCTGGGTGATGCACCCAAATGTGGCCGGCTCTGGAGCTGGGATCAGCCAGGACCACTCGGGTTTCCCCACCAAGCACCTGAGTCAATGATTAACACTGCAGGTTGGCTCATCAGGGGTAAAACAAAAGCGCTGCTGGCTCTTCCCTGGGGTTTGGGCTTACACTGCAGGGCTGGTTGCATGGTGCTGTTTGAAGCTGTGCTCAGGAGGGGATGGGGATGAAGTAACTTGTCCCAACTCCATGTATCTGCAGGCCGAAGAGAGCCCTGGCCTTGCTGACATGGTGAAGGGCTGCTCTGCCACTGCCGGTGTTGGGCCAGGGAGCAGTCTTGGCTTTGCAGCTCCAAAAGAAGATGTGTGTCCCTGGGGATGATGGATGGGAACCTCCATGGGCTCCATGTCCATCCCCAACCCAGCTGCTACCTTGTCTGGGTAAGTGTCTCTGCTGAGCTTGGCTAATTAAGCCTCCAAGTTGCATTTATCTAATCTGTTGGGGCTTGGCTGGGATTAGACCCTTGTGATGCTCTGCAGCCCCAGCAGCACCGGTGGTACCCGTGGAACCCCATCCCTGCGGCAGCGTGCACAGGGCACCTTTTCCCATCAGCAGGGTGATGCTGGGGGACACTGGCGAGGGCAGGGCTCCTGGATCCGTAGGGATGCGCTGGGGAGCCCAGCCCGGTTTGATGTGATTACGGCGGCTGGCAGCCGTCTGGGCTGCACACAAGTCCCTGTAATTAGCCCCAGACAGTGACAGAGGTACGCGCCCCATGCTAAGGAGCCAGGCAGCCCCAACAGGTCCGTCTCCTCTGCTCCCCATCCCTATCCCCGCTTCCTTCCTGCCTTCCCTCGCTGCCTCCAGGCAGTCCTGCTCCTGCTCTTCCCTGCTGGCATGCGAAGGGATACAAGGATGCTCCCAGCCTCAGGAACGGGGGCAGGGGAGCCTGGACCAGGCATCAGGGTGCTTTGGAGGCCTGCTCTTCCCTGTGCGCACGGACCTGAGTGCTGTCGGTGCACCCCCAAAGAGGGATGTGTGACAGACCAGTCGGGCAGGCTGCGTGCCACCCGCTGTCATTTGCCTCTGCTTTAGAAGTCTCTGGTTCTGCCTGTGGGAGCTTCTCCAGGCTGCGATTGCTCAGCTCCCTTGTGCTCCCCAAAGGATGGGTGATGGCCCCGCTGCGCTCCCCTGCCTGCTCACAGCCCCTCGGTGTCTAAAGGGATTCATGGGGATCTCCATCTTGTTTGGCTCCCCGGGAGCAGCCCCTGTCTCCAGCTGGCTCCCAGCCCTCTCCTGCCAAGGTCACACATTAACTTGCAGAGCAGCCACCCTGGCCCATTCTCATTCAGCACAGGCTCCCTGCTCCCAGCATGGGCTCCATCTCTGCCATAGCCTTTGGCTAGCTGCAGTCTCCATCTCACAACATCCCACCTTCAGCCCCCTCCAGAAGCACCAAACACTCCACAAGCCCGGGGTAACACAACACCTCGGCACTACCAAAAAGAGCTGATCCCCTTTCAAGCACCCAAACGCACCGGCAGCCCTCAGAGGCACAGCTCTGTGTTCACCACCTCACCCACAGGATAACCTGTTTTCGCTTGAGCTCCTGTCAACACAGCTGCAACGGAGCTACGTGGAAATAAAGATGCAGAGCAATAAAGATGCAGCTCTTCTGGGCAGAGATAAGCTGAGGTCTGGCAAGGCAAGGCAAGCCAGAGCAGCAAGTCCTGCAGCACAGCCCGAGCCAGGCTGGAGCCTGGCTCACAAAGGAGCCCGAGGTGCCTTTTGGCCCTGTGATGGCACCAGGTGGAGCAACACTCCACTGCTGGACTGCTGGACACAGCAGTCTCTGGGTCAGCAGTGTGAGGGGACAAGGCGAGTGTAACCCCCCGTGTGTTCAGCATCCTGCTCCACCATATGGCACCACACCACCGGAGGGGGCCGTGACCAATGCCACAGGCTGCTCTGCTCATCTGGGGATGCGCCAGTGCTGCAAAGGGCTTTTCCTAACGTGTTTTTCCCCATCCAACCATTCCCGGTTCACAGGGAGCAGTGACCCATTAACCCATGGGTGTGAACCGAGCGCCAGCACCCGCCTCTCCCCGCAGCCACCAGGCTCCATCCCGGCACATCCATGTGCGACAGGGCCCAACCTCCATCACCAGCCCCAGAACATCCCATTCCACCTAATCCCGGCTGGAGGCAGGATGGCAGAGCTCAGACCCCTTCTGGAGCCCCTCACATCCAGAGACACAGCACCCCATGCCCAGTCCACCCTGGCACTACATCATGGAGCAGACCCCGTCTCTTTGCTCTCAGCGGGGGCAGCGACACCCTTCTCCTCCCTCCGTTTATTCCTCCGAGAGAAAAACAGCCCCCCAAGCCCTCCGTTTCCCCTCATCCACCTCCTCTTCCCTTTCCAACAACACCCGGACGCGGCTCTCCATCCCCACCACCCCAACCCAACGCATACTCACCCTGGCACACACGTACCTGCCCCTTCGCCTTGCCTTGGGCTCCGCGCTCCGTCGCTCCGTCCACTGCCTTGTCCCGGTCGTGAATGGAGGAGGCTGGGCCGGGAACACGGTGCAAAGCGAAAGGAAAACATCCAAGCTGAGCCAGGGAAACAGCTTGGTTTCCCCCCCCACCCCAACCCAACCCGCCCCTCTCTCTCTCGTGTTTAATCCGCCTCCCCAAGAGCCGGCTCCGTGTCAGCGGGGTCCTAATTACAGGTTTTCAGGGATTTCAGCCTAAACCTGCCGCGGCAGCCAATGGCAGGGGAACCCCGCGGTAGGCGGGGAGGGGAAGAGCAAAGGGCGGTGTGTGTGTGTGTGTGTGTAGGGGGGGGACGGACCCACACACGCATTAACCCCCCGGGGCAGGAGCGCTGGTGACATCGGCGCTGCTCCCTGCCTCTCATTTTCCGTCCGCGCCTCGGTTCAGCCCAGGTTGCCGTTTTGATGGCTTTTATGATCCGCGCCGTGATTTATTTCCCTAGCCGGCTCAGGGAAAGAGTCGAAGCCTCATGAAAGAGCGGGAAGTGTCATTACAGCTCCATTTAGAGGTGGAGAAACTCCGGCTGGGCTCTCACAAAGGAGGGAGCCAGGGGCGAGGCGGGATGTCCTAGTTTTCCAAAGCCCTGCTCACCTGACGACTCTGCCCTAAGAGCCATTCAGACCGGCTTCGGCTGCAGCAATTGCACCCGGGCAAGAGTCAGGGTAGAATGTATCAGAGGCTCTGACGCGAGGCACAGCGTCCTTGGTGTGCTTCGGTGCATTTGTCACATGCCAGGAGGTTTATCCTGCCCCATGATGTGACTTTAGGGATGGGCACGGACACAGCATCCCTCCAAACCCCCTCATCGGCAGAGGCTGCACCAGAGCTGATGCCCAGGAGCTGCTGCTTGGTTTGGGGCTCCATGAAGTGGAGGAGGCCCATGTGTTATGTGGGGCTCTGGGGAACCAGGGTCAGGATGACAGCCGGGATCTGCAGGGGTGGTAATTTGGTAGAGGAGGTGGCCAGGCTCTGTGGCATCACTGGTAGAGGCCGTGCAGGGCAGTGTTGGTGCATTATTACATGGATACGGTGCATGGGTGATTTATAGCTTTGCAAATACCTCTGCAAAATCACCTGGGCAGGGAAAGAAGCAAGAGGAAAAGGAGAAAGGGCAGACGAGCATCTCTATAGGCCTCCGAACCCCGCACAGGAGTCCTATTGGAGCTGCCAAACCAGCCCTGCAATTCCACAGGGACCCTTTAAGGGCTCGGATCTGTGCCAGGGACGTTAATCCACTGTTTGGCTTTGCTGGGAGGTTGTTCTGTGCTGCTTTATCTTGACCCGCTCGCTGCTGTGGACTTTGTACCCCTGGGTGGTGCTGGGCCCCCTTCCTTGCCACTGCTCCCAGCGCTCCTGCATCCCTCTGCAGCATGGAATGATGGATGGGCAAAATCTTTGTTAGGGACTCGGAGCTGACACATGGAGCATTTGGGGCTTTCTAAGGAAGGACACTGAACACATTGCAGCCCAGAACCCCCCATGTGCAGCAGGGCAGGGAGGGGATCCTGCCCCTCTGTTGTGCTCTCATGAGACCCCCCCCTGCAGCCCTGATCCAGCTCTGGGGCAGCAGCACAGGAGGGACGTGGAGCTGTTGGAGCGAGGCCAGAGGAGGCCATGGAGATGCTGCAAGGGCTGGAGCAGCTCTGCTCTGGAGCCAGGCTGAGAGAGCTGGGCTGGGGCAGCCTGGAGAAGAGAAGGCTCCTGAAGGGGAGACCTGAGAGCAGCTCCAGTGCCTGAAGGGGCTGCAGGAAAGCTGGAGAGGGGCTTGGGACAAGGATGTAGGGACAGGCCAAGGGGAATGGCTTTAACCTGCCCGAGGGGAGACTGAGCTGAGCTCTTAGGCAGAAGCTCTTCCCTGTGAGGGTGCTGAGGCGCTGACCCCCATCACCCCCAGTCCCCTTCACTGACCCCTCAGCATCTCCCCTGCCCCAGACCCATCTCCACTGCCCCCCCCATTGACCCCACAGCTCCGCATCCTGCCCCAGACCCCACAATCCCCCCCCCCCAACCCCGGGGACACCCAAGCCCCGCCCCTCTCTCTGACCACGCCCCTTCCCCAGTCCCCGCCCCCTCTCGGCGCTGTCGCCGCGGGCCCCGCCCGCCCCCTGGCGGCCGCCCTTGGTCCCGTCCGGGTCCTCCCCGCCCGCGACGCTCTAGGCGGCGGCCGCCGGACTCGCTGCTCCCGGCGGGCCCGGCCCGCGCTGTGGGACGCGGCGCTGGCGGGGCCCGACCCGCACCGGGACCCCCGCACCCGGACCCCCGGGGCCGGGCCGGGGGCCGGGCGGCAGCGGGGGCCCGGGCCTCAGCTCTGCGGAGCCGGGCAGCGCCTCAGGTACCGACCCGCACCCGGGCCTTCCCCCGGCACCGGCCGCGCTCCCGTCTCCCGCTCCCCTCGTCCCCTTCCCCGCGCTCCCTTTGCGCCCTCTTCCCCGTTATCCCCCGGGCCTCGCCGCTTCCTCCTCCCCTCCAGCCCCTTTCCCTTCCCGCGGGCCCTCTTTAGCCCTTCCCCTCCCTCCCTGCCGTCGGTCGGTGCGGGGCCGTGTGAGCCGTTCCGCTCCCGGTGTCCGTGTGCAGGGCTGCCCGCTGGGGCCTTGGTCCCTTGGGAGCAGGGGGAAGCGCTGGGGTGAGGAAGGGGGGTCTTGGGTGGACGGGGCTGCTGTGGGAGCAACAGGCAGCAGTGCAGGCAGGGCCGAGGAGGGGTGCGAAGGTTTAGGTGTAAGGAGGGTTTAGGTTTGGGTGCTGGGAAAGGGGAGGGTGGGTTGCGGGTCTGGGGGGGGAAGCAGCGGTGGTGCCATTGGAGTGCTTGGGTTGACAGGTTAAAGGCTGTGAACTGGGGAGGCGCTGAGCGAGAGGCTGGAGCCTGGAGAGTGAAGCGTGGAAGTGATGCCCCTGAAATACGGAGCAGTGAGGAGGAGCAGGAAGGGCCCAGGGAGCGTTCAGGCATCCCGAGATGTGCGTTTGCTTCTTGCTTGTGCAGTTCTGGCCACAACAACTGCTTGGGGTAGGCAGCAGCTCTTCAACCAAACCCCATTGTTGGTTAGGTGTGAGGGGAGGGAGCACCAGAGGGAAAGAGGGAGAAAGGGGAAAGAGGGAGAAAGGAGAAAGAGGGAGAAAGGAGAAAGAGGAGACAAAGGTAAGATGTTTTATACCAGGTTTTGGTGTTTTTACTGATGTGATGGGAGCAGGAGGGCAGAGACAGCAGAGGACAAGGCCCTCAGTGAGCAGAATAGATGGAGCAGAGAGGGATCTGTTGCTACATTATTGAGCAAAGCTTGTAAGGTCAGCAGGGAGTAAATCCATAACTGAGCCTAGAAAAGCAAATAGGATGGGGTTGAACAGGGCGTTGGGGTGATGGGGACATGCAGGTGGCTTGATTTGTGCCCAAGCTCCTTCCTGCTTTCTAAAGCAAACACTGCTCTTCCAGGGGGCTTGGCAGGGTTAGGACATGGGAGGGCATTCTTCAGCCAAAGCCGAGGCGTGGGGCTGCAGCTGGGGGGGGGTGGTTGATTCGATGTCAGAGATGAAGTGGGAGCCCGAGGGCAGCGGCACAGCGTGGCTCTGCTCGGAGAGGCCGCTCTGTGATTCATGGTTTAATTTGGAGCGAGTGTTGAGGCGGGTTCTGGCCTGGCAGGGGGAGAGCTTTCCAATAGCCTTTTCATTTCGTGTGCTGCTCCGCTGCCAGGCTGCTCACCCGTAGGACTTCACTCCCTCACGCCGTGGATGGAGAGCTCAGCGGCTGTTCTCACCCAAGGGGACATCTCCCCTGTGACCTGCTGCTGGGTCCCCTGCCCTCGAGTGCACGCGGAATCCTTTACGTTTGCATCCAAGTCCCTGGTATTTCTCACTCCCGGTGCGTGCAGCTCCTGCCTGCTTGGTCCTTGTGCTCGCTGGCTGTGGTCAGAGCACGGAGCTTTGGGGGTTTCTGCCATTCCTTCTCACAGCCTGAAGCAGAAGGGCTGTTGTGTTCACTTGCTTTTAAGGCTGCTGGTTCTCTGACCCTTAAGGACCTTGCGTGGCATGAAGGTATCCGCACATTCCTGAGCAGCAGATGTGTGTGGTTCCTTATATCCTCACCACCTCTCAGCATTGTGTTTTATTTGCACAACTGAGAAACCCTGTGTAGAGTCCCAAAGCAGCACCTTCAAAGGGTAAAATATCTTAGTTTTAGGTTTTTGAGCTGTAGACAATGTATTTTTTTAGCAGTCACAGGAGTGCTCTTTGAAAAATTATTTCTATTTTCATACAAAAAGCAGGTCGTGAATTAAAATAATATCCTTGTGATAGTTGAAAGGAGCTTCAGTCACCTCCTTACCCCCTGTGTAGCCTTCTCTGCTTTTTAACCTGTTTCATTGTATTCTCCTTGTCAGGTGGAAGATGGGACCATTTCCCTTGTGTTTTAGGTGACTCTGATACCTGTTACCATGAAGTCCCGAAGGAGATAGAGGGACAGTAGTGGGAATTTCTTCTCACTCCTCCAAAAAACCCCAACAGTTGCCTAATGGTAAGGAAGCTGTTCTTTTGAATTAGCCTTCTATTGTACCCATTAATCAAGGAACGTGTTGGGGAGTTTGAGATCTGAGCCCACTGGGCCATGTTTAGGGGGAGTTGAGGAGGAAACAGGCTGTAAATGCTGTGTGGTGGGAGGAGCTGGTGAGAAAATACAGTTGTCCTCTGTTTTGTGTCCTCTCCCCAGGGATTACCTCTTACACTGACGTGATGGGGAGCTGCTGCAGTTGTCTGTGCAGAGACAGCATCCCAGACAACCATCCCACCAAATTCAAGGTAAGTGTTGCACCTTTATCCCCATCAGAGAGCCTGTGACAGCACCAACTACTAGAAAAGCCCGGTGTTGGTGGGAATCCAGGCATGAAAAGAAAGAAAACCTCTGCTCTTGCTGAGAAGTCTTTTGCTTTATAAGATTTGCAGATACGTCACTGTTTTGTTTGGCTTTTCTCCCCTTTCCTTAAGCAACCTCTGCTGCAAATACGTTTGTGTTTGCAGGAGAGATTGCCTCTGCACAGAGAGTCAGCCTGAGCGAGGAAATGGGGAACTGGAGAGAAACCTTTTATTGCTCAGGGCTGTGTTCCAGTGTCTGTGCTGAGACACATCAGCTGAACTGCCAGGCACGCAGTCTCCAGGGCTGCTGGCTTGGCACCTTCTGCCAGCACTGAATTCGTGCTCTCAGCTGAGAAAGGGCCATCTCAGCAAGCACAGGGGGACTCCACAGCAATTACAGTGTCCTCACGGGTGGGCTTTTCTGCGACACCAAATGCACTGAGTGTCCTGAGCCCTGTGGCCTCTGCAGGTAACGAACGTGGACGATGAAGGTAACGAGCTGGGATCTGGGGTTATGGAGCTGACACAGATGGAGCTCATCTTGCACACTCACAAACGAGATGCTGTCAGGTGGCCCTACCTCTGCCTGCGCCGCTACGGCTACGACTCCAACCTCTTCTCCTTCGAGAGCGGCCGGCGCTGCCAGACGGGGCAGGGTGAGTGTCCAGGTTCTGTTCATCTGATGCATCGACAGGTTCTTCTGCAGCCTCTGTTCCCCCACAGTACTGGAGTGTGCAGATCATACACTTAATGCCCCTGATAAAACACTGATGAGACCAACACTGTGGCTCAGGACCTGGGTGTAAATCTAATGCTCTCATTTTGCTAGTGCATTGGTGCTCGTGAGGCAATTGGTGGAGCAGGCTTGAGCACTGGATGGGGTGGATTTCCTGTCAGATTGCTGTTTGGCTTTGCCTAGGTACTAAAGGATGCACAGGAGGGTGTGCTGGGCTTCTTTAGCAGCTAGAAAGTACTTTTTGCAAGGCTGAAACTTTGTTGAGCATCTTTTAACTTGAGATGAAGTGAAAGGGCATCACTGCACCTTTTTGCAGGACCCTCTTGGAGCTCTGTTCCACAGAGCTGCCAAATGCATGTCAGTAGCAACAGTTGTTTGAGCACGTTTTGGTTTTCTGGGGGCATTCTCTCTGCCTTAGTTAGTGCTGGTTCTACCCAATGCTTTGCATTTTATGCCTGGCAGTACTTTGTAACATAGAGGGAGAGGAGTTTTACGCTTTACAGACCTCATGCATGGGGCTGCTGTGCCTAGAGAAGGGAAGTGAGTCACCCAGGAGTACGTGCCAAGTCATCAGCAGCACTGGGAATAGACTCCAGTTTACAATGGGGCCTGTTAGTTCTTTTCCCAGTCTGTCTCTCTTGCTTTTAAAGAGCTGAACATTTTCTTGGCATCTGCATTCCCAAGGAGCAAAAAAAGTTTGCTTCCTCATTCTTTTAGTGTGTTTGTAAACTCCTCCTTACCCAAAAGGACGCTGTGTGACTGTTCAGTGTCAGGGTAGAGCTCTGTGCAGATCTGTAGTGCCATATGCTCCTTTTTAATATTCATGTACATGGGGTTTTCCTCTCCTGGAGTCCTCTGCTTATCAGCTGCCAGCGGTGGGAATCGCTTCTCTTCAGGTTCTGGTTTGCCTTTTGCAGGATGCAGAGCAGTGCTTAACAGCCTGTCCTGTTCAGGGCCAGGTACTGGTGGTGAAGCAGAGCCGTTTGCTTTTCACATATTACAGGATTTTTAGCAGATACATACTTACTCACTGGTCTCAAAGCAGGGGGAAATGAGAGGGGTGGCAGTGTGTTTTGAGGAGGTTTCTGCCTCCCTTGTAGGATTTGATTCTGCTCAGCTGATTGCACTGGGAGGACTCCTTCCTGATGCTGCTCCCCACCTTGTACAAGGCAGAGAGAGCTGTGTTTTGGGCCAGGATTTTGAAAGCCTTCCTCTCAGTGGCAGCAGCGTTGTTGCCATGCTGTTCCTGTTGCCATGGCTCGTGTGCCTGCCAGCCTGGATTGGCAGCTCCGTGCACACAGGCTCTGCCGGGGCTGCTCTTCTGGGGAGATGCTGTTTAATTCCATATAGATTTTAACCATTCCATTGTCCCTCCCTCATGTGCATGCTCCACAGGGCCCAGTTCAGCTTTGGGTAGCCACTGGGTAGCTTTTCCCCTGGCAGTGAGAATTGGACTGTGTGCCAAGCGAGTTAGAACAGATTAGAGCTGAAACAAGAGCGAGTAGCCTGTCCTTTCACACCTCTGCTTGTGTGGGATTGATTCTTGTAAGAGAACTTGAGATGCTCAGTATGTTCCTTGTAACGATGCACCGTTTGGTCAGATAGCAGCCATAACATTGTGTTCCTGTTGATGCAATAATCCACAGTGGTTGGTTGTTTCCCTGTGGGTTGCAGGGATTGATTGCGTTAAACACAGCAGAAGAAATCAGAGTTGCCTGTTCATTTAGAGCCAGGAATTACGCACACTCCTGGTAAAGCAGGACCCTGTCTTGCTTTGCTGACCCTCCTCTTTGTTACTGTGCAGGGATTTTTGCCTTTAAGTGTTCCAGAGCCGAGGAGATCTTTAACCTGCTCCAGGACCTGATGCAGTGTAACAGTATCAACGTTGTGGAAGAGCCTGTTGTCATCACCAGGAACAGTCACCCCACCGAGCGGGAGCTCTCCAGGACCCCCCAGGCATCCAACAGTAAGGCTCCTTCAGTGTCTGGGAGAAGAGAGGGGAACACAGGGATGTGCTCCCTCACAGCTGACCCACATGATTTAAATAGATTTAAAACAAGAGATGAGCCCCTCACTGACATGGTTTAGTGGTGGATTTGGCAGCCCTGGGGTAATGGTTGGCTTTGATGATCTTAAAGGTCTTTTCCAACCTGGTTGATTCTGTTATTCTGAGAGGGCACAGCCCTTGTGTTTAGATGAGGTGCTTTGTCACAGGGGTCTTCCCCAGAGAGGTTGATTCTGACTTACAGGTACCAGCTCACTGCAGAAAGGAAGTAAACTCTATTTGTGGCAAACCAGTGCTGTAACCCCCTTACCTGCCTTGATTCTCTCCCAGGTCTGGGGTACACTGTCCCAGGATTTCCTAATGGATTTCACAGCTACTCTGGAGAAACCCTACCATACTCTGCAGCCCACCACCCCTCTGTGAGCAGCCTGAAGCATTCCTCTGTGGGTGAAGACTCTACTCATGCCCTTATTGGGCCTGATGAACAGGTAAACCTGGATGTCCTAAATTCTCCTGTTTGCAAGCAGTGACCGAGCAGCTTGTTTGCTCATGGTTCTGGGCAGTTCTGGGTTTCTTCAGCAACCCAGGGGATCCTCATACCTTGTCATCCTTTTTTTCCCCTCTTTTGCTTCATTTTACTCTTGGAAACTTCTGCTGTGTGACACTTCACTACAACAGGCACTCTGCCTGAGGTGCCTTCCTTAATCCACTAGTATTTGCACAGCAGAACTTTAAGTTCTGTGCCATATGCATCGAGCATGAGCTAGACGATGTGTTTCTCCTGCAGTTGGACTCCCTTTGGTCTCTCCTTCAGCCCACAAATCCAGAAATGGCTTTTTTCTCCCCCCAGATCTTTCCAACTTCTGAAATTCTTTCACCCCCTCCTGCATCAGCCACCAACCTATTCTCCATCCCTGTTGGTTTCTCAGCTGCTTTGCTCTTGTCTCTTCTCTTCTCCCTTCACTGTCCCTCTGCTTCTCTCCTTGCAGTCCCACACCTACGTCAACACGGCCAATGGTGATCAGGAGTTGAGGGGCCGACACTGTATGCACTCCTTGCCTGAAGTCCACCCTCCTTTCCCCCATAGGAACCGCAGCTGCTCCCTCGAAGACCGCAATCCCCAGGTCTTCCTGCAGCCAGGGGAGGTTAAGTTCGTGTTAGGTCCCACATCCAACTGCAGACGCTCCTGTCGGCACCACCGGGAGTGCAGGACACACTTCTGCCCCCCCAACAACAACAACAACGAGTGTGAGGAGGAGTGTCCTTCACCCCAGTGCGTCTATGAGAACGTCAATGGCCTGCTGCCCCCCAGCACCTCCTCTCTCTGCCGAGGCGGGCGCTTGAAGCTGCCCCGGGAGGACTCGGGCTTAGCCGGCTGCTCCCATCGCAGGACGGCCTTGCTGCACTACGAGAACTTGCCATCCCTGCCCCCGGTGTGGGAATGCCAACCCCTCCCGCGGGGCGAGGAGGACGCGGGCGATGGGTTGACCCCTTCCCCCAGCGGCTACTCCGAGGCTGGTGAAGAAGATCCCCTCCAGAACTACATGAACTCGGAGAGCACGGCCCTGCACCGGGGCCAGCGGCGCAGCAGCTTCCTGCCGAAGCCTCGGCGCAGCTGCGTGCCCAACGTCTTCAGCTTCGACTTCCCCCGGCCCTGCCCGGAGCAGCCACGGCAGCTCAACTACATCCAAGTGGAGCTGGAGGCTGAGCCGCACAAGGGCCCTCAGAACCCCCCGGCCTCCCGTGTGCCAGCTCCTGCCAGCCCTGACGCCCGCCGGACGGACTCCTACGCGGTCATCGACCTAAAAAAGACAGCAGCCATGTCCAGTTTGCAACGGGCCCTGCCCAGAGATGATGGCACCTCACGGAAAACTCGGCATAACAGCACTGACCTGCCCTTGTGAGGGGGGCCCGCCGAGTGCCAGCACCGTGTCGTGGCTTCCGTACCTGCCTTCGGTGTGACTTCCATTCGCCATTGCCTTCTGCTTCCCTGTTTACCCCATTACTTGGTGTCACGGGATGGCTCCTACAGCTGATGTTAAGCCTAGTCTGTCTGTCTGTCCTCCCCTCTCTGTCTGTCCCATGTCGTTCGTTTTTGAAGCCTTGTGGGGTATTCAGCATCGCTGTTTGAAGGTTCAGCCTCCAGCAGGAGGGGCAGGAGGTGCCAGCAGTGGCACCGGTGCTGTGTGGGTCCAGCCTTGGATTGGCTTAGCTCTGCTCTCGCCTGGCAGCTCCATGAGCAGTGCCAACAGCCTGGCTCCAGAGGCAGAGCATAGCATGGTGGAGGCATGTTTCCCAAAGTGAGTTGCTTTAGGAGCTCCACTGCAAATCCAGCCTATTTTCCATGGATTCCATGCCTTGCGGCTCGAGGCGACTGCTGCAGCTGGGCCTTGTGGTTTCGCCGGTCCCTGGGGATGTGGGGGCTCATGCTGTGGTCTTTCCCCCCTCAGCTCCTTCTTCCCCTCTGCACTGTTCCGTGTTTTCTTGTAGAAGCTTTTGATACTTCTGTCCCTCTCTCAGATTCCATTTGAATTGGGCAGCTCTAGAAACGAAGAGGACAGACAGCCATGGGCGCAGACACTGTGATCACATAAACCTGACTTCCTAAAGAGACCCTGCTTTAAAAGGAGGGGAAGACCACAACTGTGAGAGAGGTTTGAGGTTTGGTACAGAAATCTTCAGTTGTACCATACCCTGCTCTTTAAAGGTTCTTTTTGGTGGCTGTTCCAAAATGGTGTTGATTTATTTATTTGCTTATTTATTCACTCGATGATGTTTTGCATCCCAATGGTGATTGCCCAGACCAGTGCCAATAGGACACGAGCACTCGCCGTGGCTCACTCCTGCCTGGGGGGGGGACAGCTCTCAGAAGAGGTTGGTGGCTTTGCTGAGCTGCTGCTGGGGAAAAGAGCAGTTGTGACTCAATAGACATGTTTAAACTGGGACCGACTGTCGCAGGCTGGGTGGCAAATGGGAGACGTGGGAGTGCGAGCGGAGCTGCCAGGCAGCCGAGCCTGGAGTTGTATCAGTCTTTGCCTTCACCCACGTGCCTGGCTGGCTCCATGAGGAATGTTTGATCGGTGTCCTGAGGGAATGTGCAGTTGGTTTCCTGCAGCTGGGGGCTTGGAAGGGCTCAGCTTCAGCTCCTGGGTAAATCTGTGGCCTTTGATGTGGTTTTTTTCTCTTGATACCAGGGCTGAGTCTAAGCTGAGCTGTGAGGCCTCTGCATGAGGCCCTGTGTAGGGTCTCTGCTCCTTGTCCTGTTGCAGGCTGTCCCACCACCCCTCTCCACATGGTGACACACTGCAGCTTAGTCCCTCCCTGGCTCACTCTTTGCCATTATAAGCTATTCCAATATGACACAAGTGCTCTGGATTCCCACCCTTCTGCTGCCTGTGTTCATCTTCCTCCCTGGGATAGGAGTGGGGAGAGCTAGTGCTCTCCGATGTGTCCCACTGCCAAATCTTGCTGTGTTCTCCTTGTCCCTAAGGTTTCCACTGTCAAAACCTCTGGGCTGAAAGAGGAGAGAACCCCCTTGTCCTGTTGCAACCTGCTTCTGAGGTCCAGAAACTTGGCGTCCAGAATTAAGTTCAGCCTTTTTGGGTTTGGTGCTGTAATGTCACGCTGAAATGTGACCCTTTTGGGAGCAAGGACATGCTCCTGCAGGTCAGAAGGTGTGAGCAGTGCCATGCTTGTGTGGGCAGGACGTGGATCTCTTGTCTTGCTGGTGCACTATAAATTCAAGGTTCACCTCGTGCTTAAATTCACTGGGTTTTGGGGAAGTGCTTGTGCTTGTCTTCCATACTGTTCTCCACCCCATCCTTTGTGTGGTCTGTAACTGGGAGGAAACCCAAGTAATATATTTTTATATGGATGCCAAATGAATTTATTTGACAGGGAAAGGCAATGTATCCCCCTAAATCTAGCTTTCAGTTAGGGAAGTGAGAAGAGAAATTGTTTATATATATATATACATAAATATATATATGAAAGTTAACGGCATTAAGCTTTAAATAAATGATTTAACTAAAGAGTTTCTAGGCTGTGTCACCCTGTGGGGCAGCTCCAGCCTGGCTGCATGTCTGTGATGAGTGGGAGAAGGCTGCTGTGAGGGTCTGTAGGCACTGCTTGCTCCAGGGATCAGGTCTGTGGGTACTGGGAGCTCCAGGGATCAGGTCCGTGGGCACTGGGAGCTCCAGGGATCAGGTCCGTGGGCACTGGGAGCTCCAGGGTGGCACAGCCCGGGCGGTGCTGGCCGGTGTCACAGCTTCCTCTAGTGGCCACGCTGGAAACGGTTTCAGAGGAGGAATCAGCGTTGGGTTGAAAGGCAAGGAGGGCATCAGTGTTTTCTCATCCCTTCAGTTGTTTTCATAGGGACTTTGATTTCATAGGGGTTGGAGCTGGATGAGCTTTAAGGTCCCTTCCAACCCGAACCACTCTGATTCGATGATAACCCTGGAGTCTTCCCTCGGTACCGTTTCCTTTTGGTTGAAAATGATGTTTATGCCATTTGTAGTGTCTTTATGGCACCTTGTCCAGAGGCATCTTTGCTTTGGGCCAGGTCTCCGTCCTCTGCCTGTGAGAGTGACGTTCCGGGGATGACTTGGTGAGCAGCCTGTGCCGTGCAGAGGGAGTTTGACTGTCTTAACCTTTGTCAGTGGTTCTTGTTTGAGTTTTGAGTCAATCAGTGAGACTTCTTCCCCTGATCATTCTTCCCTGGTGAATGCATAAACACATCTTTCACCCTTCCTTTCCCAAGATCCTGTTGGTAGGAATGCAGCTTCTCCTGGTGCTCAGCTGTCTGTTACCATGGCAGGAGTTTGGATTTGCCTGTTTCTTTTAACCCATTTTATGTTCCTGCTTTTCCCCTAGGGAAGGACGTTGGAATATCCTTGAGCTGTACCTGCCTCACAGGAGAGGATGGCAAAGGAGAGGCTGGATTGTGGGGGTTAAATGATCACTGTTTCTGCAGAGAGGCTCACGTGTGTTAGCTGGGACTGAAGTGTTGTGATTATTACCTAAGCCATGCTATTCCCTGGAGAAGAACCAAACCAGGGCTCGGCTCTTTCCTCCCCAAGTCTTTCCTCTGTTCCTCCCTGTGATGCTGCTCAGCCCTCTGGGGTGGTATCTGGCTGATGGTTAATGCAGGTGGTGCCTGAATTCAGCTCCTGGGCTGGCTGCTCTGAGTCCTTGTGGGAGTTTGTCTTTCCCCTAAACTTGGCTCGTCTTGAAATGCCACACAGAGGTGGCAGAACAGGTTTAGATCCCTGTTACCCAACAGGACCAAAGGTGAATACATTCGTGGAAATCCTGCGAGCTTTGAGGCTGGCAATTACAGGCCAGGGTATGGCAAAGGCTAATTGTGAAGAAGGGGTCTAATTTGTGTCTCCTTCTTCTGTAAGTGAATGTGATTTTACAGTCAAAAGGCTCAGATGCATCTGTGTTATCTCCAGCTCTCCTCCCCTGTGGTTCCCCTCGTCGTTGTTCTGGTGTCTTTGGTCCTGAACGTCCCTGATGGGGCAGAAAACCAAAGGTTTGTTGGGGTTCAGTTGCTCTGACCAGAGGCGTTGCTCTCGCTGTGTAATTGCTTCTTCAGGTTGTCTCTATGGATGTCCCTCCTTGTATCTCATCCGGGTGTAGCCGCAGAGGTGAAGAACAGCAGCAGTGCTCTGTGACCTGGGGAGTGCTCATGTCTTACATTGATGTGCACTACGAATGTATACAGAATAAATGGAACATGATGACTAGCCAGTGGTCCTGTCTTTTGTCTGGGGTGCTGTCCAGGTCTCCCTTCCCTGAAGGAATAATGCCTGTGTCCTTACGTGTCCTACCTGGAGCAATGGTTGCCCCATCCATAGGCTTAAAAAATAAGCCTATTTATAAGACACCTTTCCCTCTCTGTGGGCTGCTGACCCATGTGGGTATCTCTGCAGGGTGATTCCATGGGCTGTTGGTCGGAGCTGGAAGCTGGACTTCCAGCTGTGTTTGGATGAGGTTCTCGCCCTGGTTTGGGACGTTAAACCTGCAGCCCAGGGGTTTATTTCAGGAGCTGTTGTTGCGGTTGGACAGGAAAAGAGGAATATTTCTTTGGAGACAGATGGAAGCTGCTCCTCTGTGTCCTGTGAGCTCTGTTTTGGAAATAAACCCCTAAAACCTGCTCGGGCAGCACTGGGTAAAGGATCCGTGTGCTGTGTGTGGGGCATAAACACAGCTGGTCGTGTGCTGTGCTCCCACCACCAGCTCCTCCTGCTTGGAGAACCCAGCCAGGGAGCACTGATGCTCCAGGCAAAGGGGCCGGAGCTGGTTTAAATGAACCACACAGCGCGAGGCTGTTCGGTGGTCAAAAGGAGAGCGTTCACTTGGATGGGATTTGGCCTCTTCAGGAAGGGTTTTAGCTGACATGGTCCTTGTCCTGGAGCTGGGAACAGCCACTTCCCTGTTTTTTGCCATGGGTAAAGCAGAGCCCAGAGCAGATGAGGAAAGCCAGGCGATGGCAGCGTCTCTGAAAAGGTTTCTGTTCCCTGTCGGTGGGCAGGAGAGCTCTTTGGGTCCCAGGGAAGGCTGGATCCTGTTTCTAATGCTGCTAAACACTGTCACAAGCTGCCAGCTTTTGGGAGATGGTGCCACTTCTGCTGGTTTACTGGGATTTGTTGGCTCATGTTGGGAGTGCTCAAGGCCTCCGGCTGCTCGCAGCTCATCTCATTTGCTGGCTTTCCCTGCTGTAGTATCCCGGGAGAGGTTGGTGGAGTTGCCCATGGGAGGCAGAAGGGATCTAGGCTCATCTGGGAGAGATGGGATTCTTAGACCTGGAGTTGTCTGAATGTGGGCTGAGCCATTGCATCAACACAGAGAAGAAACACAAAGCAAAGGAGGAGAAATGCCCAGAGCTTGGTCCCAAGGAGAAGCCCTGCCCTGGGGCAGCAGGGGTACGTGCTGCTGGCGGAGTCCTGCCCCATGTAGAGATGGGATCTCTGATTTAAGGACTGAGCATCCTGTTAGGCTGAATGCCTCAGCAGACAAGTGCTGTGCCTATCTTTGGGTCAAGAAGTGCCAAAAGTAGAATGCATCTCTGTGTGCTGTAGAGGGCACCTTCCTCCTTTGTCTTTTGGCAGGGCCGATTCCCCTCGGGACCCGCAGATAACAGTCGGCGTATTGACGTTTTGATAACTGCTCTTTGCTTTCAGCCAGAATTTGCTTTTTATCCAATCTTAATAAGTTGATCTTTCTATCAATCCTGCTAGCAAACAAGATAATTGCTTTATTATAGTCTCAATATCCAGCAAAGGACACACACTCCCCGCTGCTCCCGAGGGAACGCAATCTGTGCAGAGCACTGGCACGGGATGAGTGCCGGATGAGGATGAGTGTGATTCCTGCACTGTGGAGAGCCAGGCTGCTCGCAGCGGGAATGCAAGGCAGGAGGCTTAGAAAATATTTAGGTTCTAACCCAAAACGTTTTGGTCTCTTTGCTAGAAAATATTTAGGTTTTGGAGTCATTTGCTAGGAAATATTTGGGTTATAACCGGAAGGGTTTTGGTCTGTTTGGGTATTTGTTGGCGGTTTGGGAGCTCTGTGTTTGTGCTTCTCTTCTTTCAACATGAAAAAGAAAAGCAAACAAGGGATTTCCTGTCTCGCTGGGCTGGGGTGAGGACCCGGAAGGTGGCTGAAACCCCGTGGTGGGTTAAACCTCCCCCATGCAGGGAGGCACAGCGCTCCCCTTAATGCAGGATGGGGAAGGGAGCAGCTCCTCCACAAAATAAGTGGGCAACTGCGGGATTTCTGACCCAAACAGCACACAAGCAGCGGCAGGACTGGGGTGTGTGACATGAGCTGGTCCTGCAGGAGAGGATGGGGAAAACACAGAGAACCAGAGGAGGAAGCAGCGCTTTGCTCCTGGCAAAGCCTCACCTCCAGCAGCATTCCCAGCTCCAGGCCAGGTCCCGAATATGTGTGTGGAGGAAAAAAGGCTCCTTCATTTCGGGAAAAGCCTTGGGCAGGTTTTGCTAGGCAGAGATAACGGCCCAGCACGGTGACGCGTGGCTCCCTCCTCTGCGCTGCGATAAGGGCCGGCCGCCAATTGGATGGGGACGCTTCCATCTCGCTATCGAAGGCGGGCGCCGCTCGATCCTCACCTCGCGCCCCGCGACGGGAACGCCTCGAGAGCCCTCGTGGCCCCAAACACAAAGGAACCCTTGAAGCCAAGGGTGTGCGTGGCAATGGAAAACAGAGGTCAGCAGATAAGGGGGATCGCTGCTTCCCGGTTATAAAGCCAGGGAGCCCGGGCAGCTCAGCCCAGCTGCGGTCATCGGGAGGGTGAGTGTGGACCGGTGGGTACCTCCTGCACCATGAAGTGGCTCGTCCTGGCCCTGCTGTGTCTCCAGCTCTCGGAGGGGGTGGTGAGGTGAGTGTCCGGCAGGGAGTGGGGTGGTAACAGAGCTGTAACCTGCATGGGCTGTGCTGTGACCCTGAACACCTTCAACCGGGTGTGATTCCAGCCTCCTGCATTTCCATTGACCATCGTGGTCCTGGCCCAGGCTGGGTCAGGGGGTGTAAAGAGCAGCCGAGGGGATGGCTCTTATCATGGCTGGGCACAGAGATAACCTGGCAGTGCCCAAATCCCCGGATTTCCTGCTGAGTTTTGTTGGTTTGGGTTGGTTTTCCCTCCGTGCAGAATCAAACTGAAGAAAGGCAAATCCATCCGGGAGAACATGAAGAAGGCTGGAGTGTTGGAGGACTACCTGAGGAGAATGAAACATCACACAGCTAAGAAACATCGCTTCAGAGAGGACTTTGTGGTGTATGAGCCCATAACCAGCCATCTGGATGTGAGTACCCCATTTCCCACTGCTGCCTGTCTGTATACCATGAGCATCCCTTTCCCTCCTCCTTCCCAGCTGCCAGGGATCCGTTCACCCCAAGCCTCCAGGAGTGAGAGATGGTTTTCCCCGCTCTTCTTTAAGCTTCTACTTTAGAAGAGTTTTCCCCTGCCATGAAAAGTGAGGCTTTTCTGTGTGAAACAGAAAACACAACA